TAATGGCGGAGATGATGATGATGGTAATGGTGACGATGATGATACAGATAGATGTGTATAAGTGTGTATATGCCTATGTATGGGTATAAATAGATGGAGATATATGTACATCAACACATAGTATGTAACTCCTGTCTTATTCTATTATCATATACATTTTGTTATTACACAAGTAACACATAAAAACAGAGAGACAACTCCCCTCAGCCCTTCATATTTTCCCCCACTTTATTGAGGTATGATTGGCAATCAGAAATCATATGTATTACTGGTGTAGCTCAGTGGATTGAGCGTGGGCTTGCAAACCAAAAGGTTGCAGGTTTGATTCCCAGTCAGGGCACATGCCTAGGCTGTGGGCCAGGTCCCCAGTGGGGGCCTCATGAGAGGCAACCAGACATTGATATTTCTTTCCCTCTCGTTCTCCTTCCCGTCCCCTCTCTCTAAAAAATAAGTAAATAAAGTCTTTAAAAAATCATATATATTTATGTTACACAGTGGGATGATTTGGTATATGTATACACTATGAAGTGACTGCCACAATCAAGCTAATGAACACATCCATCATGTCACATGGTTACCCTTTTTTAGCGTGTGTAGTGAGGAAACTGGAGAGCTACTCTCTCGGTCAATGTGAAATACACAATATGCTATTATTTAGCTGTGATCACCAGGCTGTACATTACCTCCCCACAGCTTACTCATCCGATAGCTGGAAGTCTGTGCCCTTTGACCAATATTTCTGTTGTCCCTGCCCCCAGCCTCTGATAACCACCCTTCCACTCTCTGTTTCTACAATTTCAATTTTTAAAACAATTTTTTAGATTTTTATTTATTTATCTTTAGAAGGGAAGGGAAGGAGACAGGGTGAGAAATATCAATGCATGGTTGCCTCTTGTGTGTCCGCTGCTGGGAACTGGCCTGCAACCAAGGCATGTGCCCTGACTGGGAATCAAACTGCGATCCTTTGGTTTGCAGGCCCGTGCTCAATCCACCGAGATACACCAGCCAGGGCTCAATTTTTTTTTAATTCCACGTATAAGTGATTTTGTATGGTATTTGTCCTTCTATGTCTGACTTATTTTACTCAACACAATGCCCTCTAGGTTTCACCCATTTTGTTGCAGGTGGCAGTATTTTCTTCTTTCTCGTAGCTGAGTGAGATTTCATTGTGAGATAAACCATATCGTCTTTATCCATTCATTGGCTGAGGGACACTTAGGTTGTTGCCATGTCTTGTGTGTGATGAATAATGCTGCAATCAACATGGGGGGGCAGATATTTCTTTATGATAGTGATTTCATTTCCTTTGCACATATATGCAGAAGTGAAGCCACTGGATCATATAGTAGCTCCATTTTTAATTTTTAAAACGAGTTTATGCCCTGGCTGATGTGGCTCAGTGGATTGAGTGCCAGTGGTGATCCAAGGAGTCACAGGTTCGATTCTCAGTCGGGGCACATGCCTGGGGTGTGGGCCAGGTCCCCAGGAGGGTGTGTGTGTGTGAAAAGCAACCACACATAGAAGTTTCTCTCCCTCTATTTCTCCCTCTTCCCCTCTCTCTAAATAAGTAAATAAAATCTTAAAAAATGCTTTAAAAATCAATGGTATTATGTACATGCATAGCTCCTGAACTTATATATATATATATTACTGATTATGCTACTACAGTTGTCCCATGCATGACCATTCTGACCTCCCCCCAGCCTCTGGCCATCACAAATCTGCCCTCCCTCTCCATGCATTTGCCTATTCTGGATCTTTCCTAGAAATGGAATCATCCATATGTGACTTTCAGCGTCTAGCTCCTTTTACCTCGCGTGACCTCTTCCAGGATCATTGCTGCTGTGTCCTTTTGAGGTGCCTCTTACCCGGCTGTCTGAAGTTTGAGAACCAGAGTGTGCAATGTAGCCCAGAAGTTGACAGTCTGATGGCCAGTTACAGCCCTTCTGTCAGCCTCTGTTTGCTCATCTGTAAAATGGGGTAAAAGCACCTCCCTCCCAGGGCCATTTGCAAAGTGACTGGCATGTGCAAAGAGCTCAGTGACTTAGTAATTATTCCACCTGGTGGATGTGCTGTGGTTGATCCAACTAATGTCTATTGTTGGACATTAAGGCTTTTCCTATTTTTCAGTTTTTTAAACAATGCCAAGACTCACATATTCATAAATATTTTAACACTTGTCCAGTTATTTCCTTAGAATAAAAGCCTGGAAGTGGAATTCGTGGGTCAAACTTTTATTTGTGTTATACGATGAAGTATTTCTGATGTGTAGAAAAAGAACTGATTGTGGATATACTGACGTCATGGTTTCCACCTCCTGGCTCAACAAACAAACAAACAAACAAAATAACAAATAACACTGTCCCGATTGCATGCTTTCTGCCCCACTCCTGGGGGTCATCACTGGGGCCCTCTCACCTTTGTCACACCCGTGTACATTTGTGCACAGTTACATGTATCCACACACAATGCCTGTTGTCTACGTTTTAAAACTTTTGCATTGGCCCTGACTGGTGTGGTTCGGTGGATCGAGTGCCTGCCTGCCAACCAAAGGGTCGCTGGTTGATTCCCATTCAGGGCACATGCCGGGGTTGCCAGCCAGGTCCCCAGTTGGGGGCGTGTGAGAGGCAACCACACACTGATGTTTCTCTCCCTCTCCCTCCCTTCCCTCTCTCTCAAAATAAACAAACATACAACAACAACAAAAACTTCTGCATTGGACTCGACAGCCTTCTCCCCCTAGCAGCGCCTGCTGTGGGTGGTCCAAGTCGCTCAATGCAGTGACCGTGCATCTTTTCACTGCTCTATGGTGTCCCCTGCTGTACGCGCCACACTCTACCGATCTGCTCTTCAGGCGATGGACTTTTGAGTCGTTTCCAGCGTTTACAAACGCTGCTGTCCGAGCTGTCTTGGGCTTATCTTTTTCATGTTTGTGAGAGTTACTTGGCGGTGCACACCCGTGAGTTGAAGGGGTAAATCTTTTAAGATTCACACTTGCCGATAGGGCTTTTCCAGACCCCTCACCTTTGTGGAGCGTCCTTTCTCTTGGTAGGCTCCTTTTCCTTGCCTCAGGCTGCTTCTCTCCTCTGCAGCTGCAGCCATTTTTTTTCATGTGGCTGAGGCTGGGATACCTGTGTTTGTGTGTGTCTGAGAGCCGGGGGAAGTCCTCGTTGAAAAAAGAACGGAACAAACAGAGGGTGGGAAGCTGGAAGTTGGGATGAAGGACACCTGGGGAGGTGTTAGGAGGACCCTCAGAGAGAAAAGCAATGTTGTCTTTGTTTTATAGCTGCACGACTGAAGAGCAGAGAGGGCAAGCCACTTCCCCAATGTCACAGAGCGAGGGCACAGAGAAACCCCCTACTCCGTGCAGGATATATAGCGGCCAACCAAACAAAGACTGCCTGCTTCAAGTGCGGAGCTTATTATTCTGGGCGTAATTATGATGCACTGCTAATTATATTTGCCTCTCCTAGCGGGGAGGAGGGGTGATACTAATTAGGGAGGGGTTGCCCCATGGGAAGATCTCATGAGTCAGGCCTTTTCCCAAAGCTCTGTCTCCCTCTTCTCGATCCGTTTACCTACAAGTAAATGGGGTACTCCTGAAATTAAACAGGGTATCTCGGGGAGAGGTCGTCCAAGAGGGAGAACGAGACCCCATTGTACCCAGGCTGGGTTGTCAATAAAGTTTCGTCGCCTTGGCAACCTCAGGCCTCTCTGGGCGGGGCACGGAGGTGCGCGCGCATTCACCCCGCCGGTCTTCCTTGGCTTTCTGCCTCTGGTGGCTGCAGGTTTCACCATAGTGAAAGAATAGGGAGGTCGCGACTTGTGGTGACGGGCGGAGACTTCAGCCAATGGGAGCATGATCCTGTCCAAGGCAAACCAACCACATACAAGTTCTGGCCCGCCTTCTTTCCACTTGGACCCGAATAACCTGACCCAAACCCGAGTTGCGGCGCTTTCCGCCAATGACCGCGCCGACTTCGGCCCGTGGGTGGGGATACGTCTCCATGGCAGCGTCGGAAGGACAGCGGCGGGAACCAATCGCAGCGGTTGGCGGCGCTGAGGGGCAGCGCGGGCGTGGCGGGGTTTTGTGGGGGCAAGAGACGGGGTTTTTGTGGGGGTAGGCGGGGAGACGGGGTGCAGCCCGGCCAATGGGAGAGGCGAAAAACCCGCAGCAACTGAAGAGTGGCGGCGGCGTTGGCCAGTGGCAGGCCGCGATGGCCGTGGCGGGGCGGGCCCGGTGGGGCAGACGGGAGGCGCGGTGGCCGAGACTGAGGATTGCTGGAAGAGGCAGTGGGAGGTAGTACCGGAGGCAGCGGCGCGGGCGCCTGAGGAGGAGAAGCGGGTGAGGGGCGGCGCGGGGCCCGAAGTCTGAGCCCCCTCTCGGCCCCCGCCCCGCGCTGCCTTGGCTCCCGGTCGCCCCCAGCCCAGACTGTCCCCCGCCCAGTCCGGCCCCTCGTGTCCTGGCGCCCAAGTCTCCCGGCCCCTCCGCGAGCGTCCTGTGGCTGCCGGCGCGCAGCCGTCCCTGTGCCTCCTCAGCAGGCCCTTCCCGCACCCCGTACCTTCCCCGAGCCCCCTCACGCTCCAGGCCCTTCCCCTGCACGCGCACCGCCAACTCAGGTCCCTGGAGCCGCGAACCTGCCCCAGACCCCTGTCTGCTTCCCTCAGTTCCTTCCTGGACCTTCTTTGCCTACCCAGGGCCATGCCCGGGCTCCGTCCTCCCGGCCTTCCCACGCTCCTCCCGGGATCCCCAGGACTTTGTCTGCCCCAGTGTTTCTCAAGACGCTCCCTGGACCCCCACGCCCTACTCTGCTTCCTCTCCCCGCACCCCAGTTCTCCCTTCTGGCTTTCCCGGCTCCTCCTCGGCTCCCCGTAGCCCTCTCTGTTCCCCCTGGCCCCTGCCCCAGCTCCCCTCCCGCGCGGCCTATATTTGGTCTTTACCCACTTGCCCCTCTGCTTCCGCTCCTCCCAGCGCCCTCCCGCAGCGCGCCCTCCTCATTTACCCCCAGCCTCCCAGCCTTTGCCAGACCCTCTTTCCCAGCCGCTCAGCTCCCAATCTCTCTTCAGCTCCCCGTTCCTTGCCGCTCCCCGCCGACTCTCCCTGAAGCCCCAGCAGGGCACCCACACCACGAATCCAGGACAAGGGTTAGGGGTCTTGTTTTGTTTCGTTTTGCTAATCCCCTTCTTTCTCCTCTTTTTCATGGATCTGTCCTGCCTTCCCATACCGTTCCTTCTCACCGCCCCCCCCCCGCCCCCGCTTTGTCCTTTGAGCCCTCCCTCCCCCGGAATCCTTGGAGGGAGAGGGAGCAGGTGCTGGGATCCCTCCTCCACTTCCCTCCCCAACCCCCCTGCAGGCTGCCTGGGGCTTCACCCAGGGCCTCCCGACGACTCTCAGGGCTGCTGGGGAGGGCAGGTGGGGACTGTGGGGGCATGGAAGAACAACCTGTGTGTTGGGGGCGGGGGGGCCCCTGGCTCCCGCAGGGCTAAGCCTTGAGGGTCATCCCAGACTCTCAGTCAATCATAATCAGCCTTCCCCTTGTGTGAGTGTGTGTTGGGGGCTTTGTGTCTGCACTCCAGAGCATGAGGAGAAAGAGATACCAGTGGAGGGGGGCTGGCACTTGTTTGGGGGGGGCTTCCTCACCCTCAGAGGAACTTGTTGAATTTCACCTGCCCTGAGAGCGGTGGAGTCAGTGTTGCTTCTCTTCCCGATGTGTAGATGAGGAGACTGAAGGGCCTGGCAGAACCCCACGCAGCTCCTCGGTGGCTCAGAGCGCGCGCAGGCCCTCCCCGCTCCCAGCCAGAGGCAGCATGGTCTATGAGGCACCATGGGGCCTGACAGAGTGACAGCCAGAGAACTGTGCGAGAACGACGACCTTGCCACCAGCCTGGTCCTGGACCCCTACCTGGGCTTCCGCACCCATAAGATGAACGTCAGGTGAGGCTGCCTGGGGGAGGGCGGACTGAGGGCTGGGATTCGCCCCACAGCCCCAGTGCGGGTGGGGGCGGGGCCCGGGACGGCCAGGAGGGAATAGGCCAAGGCCCTGGGACCCAGGCATGCCCTCTCCCCCAGCCCTGTGCCCCCCCTGCGGCGACAGCACCACCTGCGCTCAGCGCTGGAGGCTTTCCTGAGGCAGCGGGACCTGGAGGCTGCGTACCGGGCCCTGACGCTGGGAGGCTGGATGACCCACTACTTCCAGAGCCGGGGCCCGCGGCAGGAGGCTGCCCTCAAGACCCACGTGAGGGCGCCCTTCCCTTCCCCACTCACCCGCGTGTCCTCTCCCCTCACCTCGGAGCCCCTGGCACTGTGCCCCTCAGCGCAGCCCTCCGGAGCTCTCTGACTTCCTAGCTATTGATTGGGACAGTCTGAGACGGGGCTCAGAGAATCCTAGGAGAGGAGAGTTGGCAGGCCCTCTGAGATGGAGTCCAACCTCTTCACTTGACAGATGAAGAAACCGAGGCCCCAAGAGGGGAAGTGAGTTCCCCGGAGACCACACAGAGAGTCAGTGGCAGAACAGGATTATTAGAGCCCAGGAGAGTGAGAGAGAGAGGGCTGAGGACGACCCTGCCCCACCACCTCACCCTGCCCACCCCCTCCCTCCCCCAGATCTACCGCTACCTCCGAGCCTTCCTGCCTGAAAGTGGCTTTACCATCCTGCCCTGTACCCGCTATTCCATGGAGAGGAATGGAGCCAAGATTGTGTCTACCCGAGCTTGGTAAGAGGGCAGAACTGATGGGAGGCTTTGTGGCGCTGCTGGGAGAGACCCGTGTCCCTTCCAGGGGAAAAAGTGGAGGAGGAGAGCTGGCAGGTGTTCCTGCTGGGAAGGAGGCGGGGTCTGGTCTTGAATACACAGCCCTGATGGGGGGTGAGACACCCCCCACACACCTACCCCACCCCCGCCGCCATGCAGCCCCCGGGTTCGTGAGGCTGACTGCCCTAAAGGCGAGACCATGAGCCCAGACTGTGCCATCCTTTCTTTATGTCCTGGAGAAGCGGAGAGGCAGGGAGAGGGTGCCCTCGTAGGCAGAGTCTGGATCACTTGCAGCAGCTGGGCAGGTGTAGCGATTTTGGAGTGGTCTGCACAGTCTTGGCCATGGTGGGCCACCGGCGCTGCTCACAGACTGAGGCCTGGCTTCCTGGTAGGAAGAAGAACGAGAAGCTGGAGCTGCTGGTGGGCTGCATCGCCGAGCTGCGGGAGGCCGACGAGGGACTGCTGCGGGCCGGTGAGAACGACTTCAGCATCATGTACTCCACCCGCAAGCGCAGCGCGCAGCTGTGGCTGGGCCCCGCAGCCTTCATCAACCACGGTGCGTGTGGGGCGTGGTCTGGGAGGGGCGTGGTCTGGGCAGGTGTCTGGGAGGGGTGACGCCCCTCCCTGTGGCTCATTCACAGTCTCTTCTCTTCCCCTGCCCCTGCCTTCCTCTGTCTCCAGACTGCAAACCGAACTGCAAGGTGAGACTGGGGACCCCGGGAGGAGTGGCCACGTGGGAAATGAGGAGGGGAGGGCTTTCTGGTCAGTGAATAGCCGGAAACTGTCCATGGTCTCCCTACCTGACAGCCCGTTCCCACCCCCCAGGTGGTGGTGTGCCAGTGGCTGATAGAGGAGGGAGGGAGGAAAGGGTTTTGGCTACAGTCACATTGGAACACGGGTTGCCACCTGCTGGAGGTATTCCTTGCTCTCTGCACTGTGGTGCTGCGGGCTAGGCCAGTTGTGGGGGTGCGGGGCGTGCGGGGATGGGGAGTCAGAAAGTGACCCCAAGCCTGGGCCCTGGACTTTGTGGGGAGATGCTTCTGGGCCGCACTGGTGCAGTTGTGGTGGCAGGAACCTGCAGGTACCTGGGTGCCCTCTGGGGTGAGGCAGGGAGCCCTGGAGGAGGAGGAGGACAGGGATCTCTGGGAGGTGTGGGTGATGACCGCCCCTTCCGTGGGGGAGCCCAGGGGAGGGGAAATGGAGTGGAGGTAGCCCTGTGGGTGCTGCCTGCCAAGTGTGGGCCTAGTCCTATGCTGTGGGAGCCCCGAGGCGTGGCAGGGGGTCTGGGGCGCCACAGTGTGAGCTAGACTTGAGTCCTGGCTCAGTCCGTCCTGGGCGCTGGTTTCTCCAGGTGGGAGATGGTGAGAATCTGCCTCCCGGTGGGTCGAGAGGGTCAGGTACACGGTGCACACTGATGTTTGTGGAAAGTATCCCTGTGAATAGGGAGACCTCCTTCAGTGGCTTTCGGGGTAGATGACGTGTGGCCTGTGCATAGACACTGAGCTGGATAGGAAACAAGGCAAGGCCCCATGCCAAGGCAGGCGACAGCCACCAGGGGCACAGGAGCCGGCAGTGTAGGAGGAGTAGGATTTTCCTGGGGGTTTCAGAAAAACGGGGTCATGTCGTCACACTGGAGGGTCAGGAGGTGTGACAGGCAGGATGACTCAAGGCTGTCGTGTTGCGTGGGCTTGGGTCTGCCCCGTGGGAGCCCCTGCTCAGTGCATTAGGGGGCTGGATTTTTAGGTGTCCCTGGCTGCTGGTGAGCTGGAGGCTCAGCAGGAAGTGGGGGAGGGGCTGGAGGCAGGGTGGCCACAGCGAGGCTGGTGTGTAACCTAGTTTGTAACTGAGCAAGAGGTGACAAGGGCTGGCTGTAGACAGGGTCTTTTTTTTTTTTTTTTTAAAGATTTTATTTATTTATCTTTAGAGGGGAAAGGAAGGAGAGAGGGAGAGAACTGGCCTGCAACCCAGGCATGTGCCCTGACTGGGAATCGAACCGTAGTTGCTTGGTTCCCAGGCCCACACTCAATCCACTGAGCCACACCAGCCAGGGCAGACAGGGTCTTAAGGATGGAGAAAACTAGGACACAAGATGCCCTGCAGTCTGGAGGCACTGGCCAGTTGGCCTGGGGTCAGGTGAATGGCAAGGGCCACGCCCAGGCTTGTATCAGTCTAGAGTGGACGGACAGATGGATAAATAGATGGGCGGGAGTCACACCTCTCCCCAGGGGGCATCTCAGAGGAAGGAGCAGGCAGGTAGGGGCCGTAGGGCAGCAGTCCAGGAAGAGGGGTGGCTGGAAGGGTGCAGGCTGGCAGGTGGTGGCTTCCGGGCGTGAGGGGCGGGGCTTAGCTGTAGGAGGGCGTGGTCACACTGCCCTGTCAGGGTGGGGTTGGATCACTCTCCTGCGGGAGGGGAGGAAGCTATAGACAGCAGATGGTCAGAGACTGGGTGAGGTGGGCAGGCCCTGGGCAGGGTCGCCACCCCCCAGGGGCTCCTGGCCACTGCCCACCACAGGGAAAGACCCTTGGGACCAGAGAGCACAGGTGGGCCAGGGTGCTGAGCGGCCCGGCTCCCAGTTTGTGCCCGCAGATGGGAACTCAGCCTGCGTGAAGGTGCTCCGGGACATTGAGCCAGGGGACGAGGTGACCTGCTTCTATGGCGAAGGCTTCTTTGGTGAAAAGAATGAGCACTGTGAATGCTATACCTGCGAGAGGTGGGCACAGGGGCGTGGGTAGGTGGGCAGGAGGGAAGCGGAACCCACTGTGAACCCGAAAATGCAACCTTAGGGCTGACATTCCTTAGGAAAGGGGAGGGGGCTTTCCGCCTGCAGCCCCGGGAGCTCCTGCCACCTCGGCCCCTGGACAAGTACCAGCTCCGGGAGACCAAGCGTAGGCTGCTGCAGAGGTTGGGCGGTGGCCGACTGACCCCAAGGTCCTGTGCCCACCGGTTTCCTCTGCGCCAGGACCCATTCTGCGGTGAGCAAAAGCCAGGGGCCCCATTCTGTCAGCCTCTATCAGCTGCTCTCGAGTCCTCAACCCTTGTCTGCCCTTTGTCCTCCTCCTGGGCGTCCTGGTGGAGTTGGGGGTGGTCTGAGCAGAAGCCGACCCACTTTCTGGAGGGCCTGCTCACAGGGTTACTCTTTCTTCCCCCCGCCTCCCCCCCACCTGCACAGCGGCCTGCCAGCCCCTGCGACCCCCGTCCTGCAGCACCAGCCCCGATGCCTCTCCCCTCTGGCTCCAGTGGCTGCCTCAGCCCCAGCTCTGGGTGCGTCCCCGGAGACGCCGTCGCCCGCAGCCCCGGCGGGTCCCCATGCTCCCCATTCTCCGTACTGCTCGAGTCTCCCTGCACCGGTGGGGAGGCTGCAGCCCCCACTGCTGCCTGCAGGCGGAGGCTGCGGTGGCCCTGGACCAGGCCCCCCGCGCCCGCTGGACGGCCCAGCAGGACTGGCGCTGGGCCCGGCGCTATGGGCTGCCTTACGTGTTGCGTGTGGACCTGAGCCGAGTGGTGCCAGCCCCACCTGCCACTCTCACCCCCACCCTCGCTCCTGTCAGGACCCCAGGCCCCATCTCCATCCCCAAGCAAGCCCTCGCCTTTGCGCCCTTCTCCCCACCCAAGCGCCTGAGGCTGGTGGTCAGCCATGGCTCCATCGACCTGGATGTCAACAGTTAGGGGCCGTGTTGGCCTGGACAGGGCTCCTGTCTCGCATCCCCAGCCCCGAGTGCTCGGGGACTCACTGACCTCCAGAAGGAGCTCTCGGACCTCTAAGAGGGAAATGCCCCTTGACCCCAGCACAGCTCCGACCTGGGGGTGGGGTTGCTTTGGACATCCCCAGGGATTGGACCCCTGACCCTTTGTGACTGCTGACCCCTGAGCCACCCCAGCCCCAGCAGGGAGCCCTGGCCATTGCTGCCCTCCGCACTCCCAGCCCCAGCCTCAGGACTGAAGAAGCCGGTCCCTGTCCCGCCCCCTCCTCCTGCCCAGGGAGCAAAGCCATAGGGAGCAGAGGCCACCCCTGGCAACTCCCCAGAAGCCCAGGCCTTGGGAGGAGGGGAACTGACTTGGGGGCTGGGGGTGGCAGTTTCTGGAGACTGCCCCATGGAGGGGAGTGAGTGTACTCTCAGCTCTGCAGCTGTCTGAGGTTGGGGGTGAGGTGGGGGGGGGCGTCCACACGTCCTCACCACCCCGCGGGTCTCAGGGAGGCTGGGTGTGACCTCATCTTTCTCATGGTGCTATCCCTGGTGCTACTGGGGTGTGGGGGCTCCCTCCCCCCACACTGGAATGGGGTATGTTGGGGAATTGGAAGCACTTGAACTTTTTATTTTATTAAAACCTTGTTATAAGCATAACCCTGAGAAGCCATTTGTTTTGATTTACGTTTGGAGGGGATGTCCAGGAGGGCAAGACCCTCGGCCTGGCTGGGGGACACTGGGCCCTGAGGAGGCAGCCAGGCCTTGGCCCCAGGGGGTTCTGGGAGTATGGAGGGGTCATGACCCTGGAGGGCAGAGCTCCAAGTCCGGAGTCACATCCCCCTCTAAACGGGGCTGAGAAAGACTGCCAGACCACCCTCCCAGCAGGAGGGGATTCTCCCCAGTTCTCCAGATAAGCCCACAGGTCCCACAAGCAGGGCTAAGACACCCCTCCCCCACCTCAACCTGTGCCCTCCTGGTTGGCCTGGCTCTCTGTGGGGCCACATGGATCTCAGGTGTCTTCAGATGCAGTTCAGTATCTTGGATTTCCCCCAATGTCTCTGAGTTACAGAGAGAAATACGAACAGCTGACAACAGTGAGGGTTCCTGGCCTCGCAGAGGGCAGGCCACAGATTGCTGAGGGTAGAGGTGGGCTGCAGGCCTTGCAGAAATTCACCCCGGAGGCCGTGGGGGCCAGGCCGGGTGCCTGAGGGCTGGTGAGGCCACGGGAAGACCCTGGTGGTTCAGAGCAGGTCACTTTTTTTACTTTATAGTGCGTTTTATTTACATGCAACCTGTTTTGTGCTTTTCAGAGTGAGCAAATGTCTTTCTTCCATGAGAATTCTATTGAACCGTGTTAGTTTTCTCAATGATGTTAAAAATAAGGAGAGCCTTGCCCTGGCTGGTGTGGCTCAGTGGGTTGAGTGCTGGCTTGAGAATCAAAAGGCCACTGGTTTGATTCTCAGGGCAGGTGCCTGGGTTGCCGGCCAGATCCCCATTTGGGGGTGTGAGAGGCAACTGATGGATATTTCTCTCACACATCAATGTTTCTCTCCCTGTCTTTCTCCTTCCCTCTCTAAAAAATAAATAAGATTTTCAAAAATGAGCCCTGGCTGGTGTGATTCAGTGGATTAACCACCAGCCTGTGAATCGGGGTCTCCAGTTCAATTCCCAGTCAGGGCACATGCCTGAGTTGCAGGCCAGGTCCCCAGTAGGGGGCGCATGAGAGGCAACCACACATTGATGTTTCTCTCTCTCTCTTCCTCCCTCCCTCCCCCTCTGTCTAAAAATAAATAAAATCTTTAAAAGAAAATGAGAGGGGCCTCCCAGTCAGCAAGCAAGGGAGGAGAATGAGGAGAGGTGGCTGACGGGACAGTCACTGAAGAACTTGTCCCTCTCAACAAGCTGAAGTTCAAGGCATCACCTTGGCTTCTAGACAAAGGTGACAGCATAGCAAGCAGCCTTGGCCTGGAAGGGTCCAAGGGTTTCACGAGCCACTGAAATCCTATTTTACAGGGAGTCACTGCAAATTCCCAGGCACGTTTTGGGAGGAGAGGGTGTAGAGCCTCTGTCCAATCCTCAAAAGTGGCTGGCACCCCAAAACCACAGGTTAGAGACCAGCCTTAGGACCTTCTGCAGGACGGTGACAGTCCACCCCCTTATAAACAGCGTCTGCCCAGGGTCCCACAGCTTGTGAGTAGGTGGCGCCCAAATGCAATTGGTGCCAGGAGTTCGTGCCGGATCCCATGAGCTGGCAGGACCTGGGGGCGTCCAGGTGAAGCTAGGCTTGGCATCAGGAGCCTACCTTGGTAGCCCAAGTCCAGGGGAACGGGTGGGTTGAGGTCATCGAGAACCCATCATACACGTGGAGACTAGAGCCAGGTCACCGGGGAAGGTGGCTGGGAGGCAAAGGCAGGAGGGAGCCAAAAGAAACAAAATAATGCCCTGGCTGGTGTAGCTCAGTGGATTGAGCATGGGCCTGCAAACCGAAAGATCGAAGTTCCATTCCCCATCAGGGCACATCCCTGGGTTGCAGGCCAGTTCCCAGCAGGGGATACAGGAGAGGCAACCATACATTGATATTTCTCTCCCTCTCTCCTTCCCTTCCTTTCCCTTTTAAAGATAAATAAATAAAATTTAAAAATATATAAAAAAGAAACAAAATAATGACAGCAGCAGGATGACCCAAGCCTGGACCCTGTGTCTCCTCTTGGGGGTGCCCTCTGGCCCTTTTACACCTGCACCGTGTCCAGGACCTCCAGGCTCCTGTTGGTGGGCTCAGCCGCCCTGGGGCTGCCATCCGGGTGACTCCTGCTGTCCGATGCAGCATTGGGCACCCGAACTGGCCACACTGATGCTGAGTGCCTCAAATTGTTTGCATAGACAGAGACCCCACACACCCTGCAAGACTGGACACTCACAGCATCTTCTCCCCGCCCTGGCCACACCCAGTGCCTGGGAAACACATGAATGGACCCCAGGACCCCAGGCTTAGGGACTCTGACTGGGGTCACGTGGTTGGTAAGCTGCAGAGTTGGCACTGGAACCCACTCCGGGAGATCATCCAGGCTTTGGGGTCCTTAGGCCAGGACAGGGGCAGACACCAGGAAGGCCGGAGCAGCGCCCACTGGGGACTAAAGGACAGCTCACTGGTGGGTGGAAGAAGAGAGGGAGAGCAGGTGCTTGGGAGATTCAAGGGTTTGTGGGACGAAGGGCAGAAGGCATCAGAGTGGTTTCATAATTCTGACCAGGAAGCACCTGGAAGCACCAGAGTCTAAATTAGGAGGAAGGAGCCGGTTCTGCCGGAGGGAGGTTGGGGGGATGGGCTCTGGGGAAGGAGGAGGAGGTGGGAAGGAGCGCAGAGATGCAGGGGGGAAGGATGGGGAGCAAACTGCTTGCCCCCTGTTTCCTCTGACCTGGGGGGCTGCTGGGGCGCAGAGGCTGGCACTGGGGGCTCAGGATGTGGCGGGCAAAGCTGGCCAAGGAGCTGCAGAGGGGTGTTCAGAGCCAGAGATCAGGGCTGGGGGTTTGCAGTCATGTTGGTCCTGCCGGCTGGAAGCTAGGCTTGGGGGGGGGTGCTGGGTGGCTCCGGCCCAGACTCAGGTATCCATAAGACAGTGGTGGCCACAGGGAAAACAGGAGTGTAAAAATGTCCCCTAAGTGGTCAAGTGGTCGAGGGATGGTGGCGAGAGCATCCTCAGCACAAGAGGGAAAGAAGGGAAAAGGTTGGCAGGGGCTGCTGGCCAACGGGGCGAAATGCACTCCAGTCATGTGCTCTGGTGAGGTCAAAGGGCTGGCTGTGGCCGCACAGGTGCCAGCCTTGTGCCTGGATGCTACCTGAGTGACCTCACCGAGTGCTCAGACACCATCACACCATTCTGTGACTCAGAGCTGCCTGGCCTGTGGGGTATGGTATTGCTGCTTGCTTTCTTCCTGCGGCAGTACAGCAGCCTCTGTTGGGGGGCGTCTCCCAGGAGGACCCCTCTAGCAGCGTCTAGGTCTGCTTGGGCCGGGGCTTGCCTTGTGCCCTCCCTCTTCCCCCTGCCTCTCAAGGGCACAGGGGACTGGAGAGGATCCTTGGGGGGCCAAGGTCTGGGGGCGGATCCCTCCTGGAGAGGGCACGTCTGGGGTGTGCCCTGGGTGGGGTGGTGAGAACACCCAGGGGGTGAGGGGACAGGATGCAGCTCGTCATCCCCTGAGCTCACCCAGCCTTTCCCACAGTTCTTCTGCGGGGTCACAGGACTGCGTTATCTGGTTTACAGTAGGAAAACTGAGGCGTATATAGGTGAACAGGCTTGCGTCCAGGGTTACCCAGAAAGTTGTCATGATTCGTAACAGCTACCTTTGAACTCCAGGGTGGACTGGTGCCAGGGTCCCCGCCTCTGAAGGGTTCAGGGTCCCCAAAGGATGGACGGCGCAGGCGACAAATGAAGAGTCAGACACCCAATTGGATGCCGGAGAACAGCCAGCCTCTGTGGGTCTGACTGAACTCATAGAGTTTGATTTAGGCTTTATTTTTATAGAGATTGTTATATAACATTAAAGGAACAGGTGCATGGTGTGGTCAGTTAAGCAGAAAAAACCAATACAGAGGTAACTAGGAAAAGTACAAGAAATTCTATAGATTGTTATATTAAACAAAGGTTGTTTTGACCAGGAGAGCCATTAATCAGACAATTAGAAATAGCTGTATGTACAGAGTTTAAATGTCTTATTGTTTATTAAAGTTCTTAGAATTTGACATGGAGCAAAAGGATACACTAAACTGAGCAGAGGTGAGAAAATTCATTATAAGGCCTTTGTGATGTCTAACTTGGCTATCTATCTTTCTGTCTAAAATGTTTCTTTATGTAATATGGACTTTAATTTCTTGGTAATTGTTTCTACGTGCTTAGTCTGTAGTAGCTAACCAGCTTCTCCTGTTTCTTTGACTGTCTAATTCTAATTTATATTCCTGTCCAAGGTAGAAGAGGCTGTTACTCCATCAACTTTTAGATATTCAGGGGCTACTTCATTAGGGGGGACTTTGTTCTCTGGCCAAGAAATTATTTTGTGTAACTTCATTGGAATTGTGGGGATCATTGGACCTGAAATAGAGGTGTTTAAAAATTCTACCACCTATTAATTGCAAAGACAAACCTGCAAGGCGAGATAGAAGGAAATCCAGGCACAGTTGCCTCTGCTGTGCAGATGCATCTCCTCCGTCCCAACTGTGTCAAGGGAGGGCTGCTGGTCGGCTCCCGACTGGGTCTTCGTGAGACAGCTTCAGGTGGGGGGCCCAGGATGCCCAAGGAAGGAGACAGCTTTAGGCAGAAGCAGTAGAATCCACCCCTCCCATGCCCAGAAGGCTGGCGGTCTGGGGCAGGACCACGCTGCATGCTGGGTCAGGGGTCACTCCTCAGCCTGGGGAGGTGGCTGGAGAGGCGATATTTTGAGGGCTGTCTGGAATCTCAGCATTGCCGTCCCAGAGCCTGGCTGAGGGCAGGCCCAGTGTCCAATGAGGAGGGAGCAGAGTAATTAAGGCTGGCCCTCTGTGTGTCAGTCTGGAAGGTGTCTGCAGGAGGGATATGGGGCGACGTGTCTGGAGACTGGTCATCCTGTTTCATTAAGAGAATGGAGAACAGTGCTCCTGCCTGTGGGACAGAGGCCGGCTGTGAGGAAGGTTTGACTTACCTGGCAGGACTGAGGAAATGGAGTCACATGAGGTCTAGAAAGGATTTGGAGCATGGGACATGGGGTCAGCGCTGGGAGGTCCAAAAATGATCCCCCTCAGAGCTCGGGGTGGGATGGACCGGGATGGACTGAGACAGAGGGGCAGGCAGAAAGTCTGGGAGGAGTTCGGGAGGCGGTCCAGGTAAGAGAAGGGGATCCTGAGGAAGGATTCCGGTGACAGGTGGGTGTGGGGATTGAGAGGCGGGAGCACCCTGGAGCCATCCTGGTGAGCAAGCGGTGGCATCCAGAGAGCCCAAGGCAACCCCTGAGCCGGTTGGTGGCTGCTGCCTACGGGTGGGTGGGGAGGGGTGGGAGGGACTGGCTTGCTCCTGCCCCAGAGATCTGACAGTGCTCCCTCCATCCCAGTGCTGATGGGGCACAGTACACCGCCCCCGCGCCCCATCTTCAGAACTGCAGTGTTGGCTCCAGGGCACAGACGCCGGGAGGACTCTCCCGAGCCCCCACGGTACACGGGGCAGACATTAAGAAGAAACAGAGGCATAGCTTTATTTGGTGCTTAGAGACTGGGGTGGGGAGTCGGGGCCAGGTCCCAGGGAGACGAGGAGATGGGGGCGCCTGGGGCCGGTCTCTCGGAGGAGCCGCGAACTCAGACCGTCAAATTTTGCCCGCGAAGGTCCCCGACTTGATCTGCTCGGTCCAGCGCTCCACCTGGAGTAGGGCGGGAGGGAGGCGGGGACGCAGGCTCAGCTCGGCGGGGCGCCCACCGTCGCCCGCCCCGTCTGACTGGCCCACGCCCCGCGCCCTGCTCACCCAGCTGATGGGGCACAGCGAGTGGAACACGTGGAAGAAATACTCGCAGGGCTGGGCGCTCTTCCCGCGGCGGTTCATCTTCTTCATGCAGCGGTGGTAGTCTGTTGAGCGAGACCCGGAGGTGGGCGGGGCCTCACCACACGCCCCGCCCCCGGACAGGACACGCCCCTCTCGACCGCACCCGCTTCTTTTCACTCCAGGGCAAGCCCGGCTTCTTTGTGGTCTGTCCCCACCCCTCTGTACCGCAGGCCCTGCCCGCCCCGGTCCGCCCCACCTACTCCAGACCAGGCCCCGCCCCCTGCCGGCCACAGCCTGGATCTCCTTTCCCCGCCCCTACACCTCCAGGTCAAGTGCCTTCAGAGTAGGCCCCGCCTCTCCAAGGTCCAGCCCCACCTCTTCCCTGCTAGACCCCTGCTCTCCCTCGTCCCGCCCCACCTCTCCAGAATAGGCCCCGCCCACTAACGGCCAAGCACCACCCCTCCATGGTAGGTCCCACTCCCTTCCTGGCCAAACCCTCTCGACCTCACCCCTCCACAGCTTCGGTCCCGCCCACCCGAGGCCAGTCTCCGCCTTTCTCTCCATCGCTCCGCCCCTCCACGAACAGGCCCCGCCCCATCCACAAAATGCCCCGCCCCTTCTACCACGGTTTGCCCCGCCCAACGGTCTCGGCTTTCAAGGCGGGCCTGGGCCCCTCTGGAGTTGCGGTGCTCCCCTTCTGCCCCTCGTCTCGCCCCGCTCCTCCTCCCCTGCCCGTGAGGGCTCACCCAGGAAGTTCTGGTAGCAGTTGCGGGTTTGGTTCTGGTTGGGGAAGCGCGGGTCGAAAGGTGGCGTGGGCCATGGCCCCTTGGAGGGCTTCTTGTCCAACATGCACTGAGTCAGCAGCTCCTGCGGGCGGGAGGGTCTCCGTGCCTGATCCCCACCCCGAAACCCAGCCCCAATCCCACCCTTCCTGTCCTCACTAGGCTGATGTCGGCGCGTCCCTGTGCTTGTGGCTCTGTCCGGGATGCCCGTCGTTTCTGAGTCTCGAGGGTCTCAGCGGAGGAAAACCACGACCCCTCGGCCTTATTGGCTGGGACTCTGGGACCCCAGCCAATGAGAGCAACTGCGCTGCAGAAAACGGTCTGGAACTCGAGGCGGCGGGGAGCGTGGACCCCTCCTCCCCCCTCCCCCGCCTCCCCCTCCCCCCTCCAGCCCCGCGCCCCATCCCCGGCTCCCCCACCTCCCCTCCGTGCGCACACACAGGCACCCAGGCTCGACTTTTGCCGAGTCTCAAACTCAGGCTTTTAATCTCTGCAAAACTGGGCCACCCCGCTGGTTCTCCCCAGGCCCCCCCACCCCCCCTAATATATAAATGTATAGATAGCTCTGGTCTCTACCGGAGAGGGAGCTCCCCCGGCCGGGCCTGTTCAGCACCCTGCTTCCTACAGCCTAGGGGCATGGCGCCTGGGGCCTGCGGCACGGGTGGGGTTGCACCGCGTGGACTAGCAGGGAAGAGCAAAGAGCACGGGTGGGGTTGCAGCTCCTGGACTTGGTGCCAGGTGTGAGGCGGGTCTGAGGGTGTCCGGGGCTACCAGGCCGCGCTGGGCTCCTCTTGTACACTTTAGCTAGCGCCTGAGGTTTAAGTCCGGCATCTTGCTACTGAAGCCTCTGGGAACGGTGTTTGCTGGAGAGAGAGCAGTGAGCGCTCAGTAAACACGTGGTGAACTGACTCTTCCTGCACCAGGAACCGGCAAGCCCACCGCCTCCAGTGCTCCCCGCCGCCGTGCCCCTCCCAGGTTTCTAGCCCTCCTGCTTCGCAAATATGAAGCCTGGCCATGCATTCTTCACCCCAACATCCAAGTGCACGAGTATCTCTTCCTCTTAAAAACTCCTATTTTGACCATGTCTATACCAGCGGCCTCTCCCCTTCCAGCAAACTACTTGGACAGAGCGAGTGTTGGGATTACCCTCCTGAGTAGACGTGTAGTGGGAACATACACATCACGTAAAAATTGCCCTTGTGACCATTTAAAAGTGGCATTGCATTCACAACCACCACCTCTGTCTAGTTCCAGAGCATTTTCGTTACCCCCAAATAAAATCCCATGCCGGCGAAGCAGTCCCTGAACATTCTCCCACCCTTCCCAGCCTTTGGTAACCACGAACCTCCTCTCTCTGTCTATGCGTTTGCCTGTTCTGGGCATTTTACACACGTGGAGTCATGCACTATATAGCTGGCATTTTTGCCTGGCTCCTTTTCATGGAGTATCATGTTTTAAAGGGCTCGCAACACGATAAGTCCCTGCTTTCTGTGCTCCCTACACCTGCCCCATTCAAGTCTTCCTTCCCACCAGGCACCAACTTCTTGCTGATAACTGCAGAGGTCCTTCCCCCCCCCCGCCCAGTACCTGGGCCAAGGCGTGAAGATACTCAGTTTTTTCTTTGTCTTCTCCACCTTGTTCACCAAGTCCCTCTTAGTCTCAATTTCCAAGAGCTTGGGCACAAGAACGTCCAAGGATGACCCCGTAGTGGCCAGGGGACACTGGCCTGGCATCCCCATGGTCTCCTGAGATTTTCTGTTGGGCTCTTGGGACACTCTGGCCTCCATCTTTGGGATGCAGTTCGGCAAGATGGGGGACTGGGCGTCCTCCCACCTCGTTGAGGGCAGAGGAATGGGGACCTGGGAGATTCTCTCTGTCTTCGGGCTGCTGGGGCCACGCTTAGAGCGTGGGGGCACTTTGAGAGACTGCCTCTGGTCCGAGAGCAGCTTCTCCGCCTCCCTGTCCACCACCGGTGTGCTCGCCAACACAGTAGCCTGGCTGGGGTTGAGGGACTCCGGGCCCACTGTTGACCTGGCAGACACCTGTGGGATCAAGAGCCAGGAGGGCAAACCGACCAGTTCTGGCTTCAAGGGCATCCCTTTGGAGTTGGCTAGGATCACCATCTTGGCAAAGGTGAGCTCCTTCACGGAGAAGGGCCGTCTGCGCTCCTGTAGGGCTCGCTCCACGGCCAGCTCTCGGGTCTTGACCCGCTTCTGCTGCTGCCCCATCACCCTGGGCTTGAAGCCAGGCAAATCCAGGGATTTCCCCTCCATCATCCCGTGGACCTTGTCCTCCTCCTTGCCCTTGCCCTTCAAGCCATCCAGGGTGATCTCCTGGGCTTTGCTAACCACGACCCCTTTTGTCTCCTTCTGGGTGGCACGGAAAGGCAGCTTCCGGGCCCACATCTCTGCGACCTGTGTCTCCTGGGTGCCCACCAGCACCAACGGCTGCGTCTTCCCTTCAGGCTGGCTTTGCTGAAGCACATTCTCAACAGGTCTTCCCCTCGGCAACGAGCCAAAATCGGCAGGGTCCAGCGTCCTCTGGTATCGGGTGGGTGAAGTCTGAGCCTTCGGGGATGGGCTAGATAGGAACAGAGATTTCTGGTCTGGAACAGGACGGGGTGTGGCTTTTGGGGGAATCCCTGATACAAGAGGGGTCTTCCAAGACAGGGAAGGTATGGCTGGGGCCTTCTGGGGAATAGCCAGCACACATGGGGTCTTTCTGGATGAACCAGGTATGGCTGGAGAATTCTGGGAGACAGCAGGTGGAACTGGGGTCTTCTGGGGAGCAAAAGGTCCAGCTGGGGACTTCTGGGATGGAGCAGGCACAGCTGAGACCCTCAGGGCCTGGTCAAGGATGAATGGATCCTCCCAAGAGGTGGGAGGGCTAGAGGGGGTTTTCTGGGAGGGTGGAGGCCTGGCCTTCTTCTTGTGCTGGCGGACAGAGGAGGAGTAGGGGGCAGGCAGGTAGAAGCTGGAACAGTAGGAGTCCTGGCTCAGGGAGCCGGAGGACAAGGTGCTGGACTCGAGGTCCGACAGCTCTTCCATGTTCCGCCGAATATCCATGTGATCGTAGGAGACCAACAAAGAAATATCAGGGTTGTCCTCTGAGATGCAATATGAAGGGGTCTTCACTAAACTGCCAAGGACCACTGCCTCCTCAGATTCTGGACGATCCTGGAGGAAGTGGAGGAAGATGAGGGGAAGAATGGTCAGGGCATCAGGGTGCGCGTCTCGGACACAGACCAGTTCCCCAGCCCCTCCCCCTCAGACCCAGGGGGTCCAGGCCCCCAGCCCCTCCTCCCTCAGACCTAGGAGTCCAGGCCCCCAGCCCCTCCTCCCTCAGACCCAGGAGTCCAGGTCCCCCAGCCCCTCCTCCCTCAGACCTAGGAGTCCAGGCCCCCAGCCCCTCCTCCCTCAGACCCAGGGGTCCAGCCCCCCCCCCTCGCCCCCAGCCCCTCCCCCCCTCCTCCCTCAGACCCAGGAGTCCAGGCCCCCAGCCCCTCCTCCCTCAGACCCAGGGGTCCAGGCCCCCCCAGCCCCGCCCCCTCAGACCCAGGAGTCCAGGCCCCCAGCCCCGCCCCCTCAGACCCAGGGGTCCAGGCCCCCCCAGCCCCGCCCCCTCAGACCCAGGAGCTGGGCCCGGGCCCCCAGAGTGTAGCCTGCCTCGGAAGAGGACAGCTTGTGGTTGATGGTGCTGGACACGATGCTGAAGATGGTCCGGATGGTGATGCTGGGCTTCCCTGGGAGGGAAGAAAGCAGCCTGAGCGCTAAGGGGAAGGGCCAGAGCTGCGGGGGTTCATTCACAGAAGCAGAGGGAGGGGAGTGCTCACCGGAAACTTGGATCTTGGTCTGAGAGCCCTGAAGGCCGAGCTCCGGGTGGGACCTGCAGGCACAGTACGGTGGGACTTGGCTGGCATCCCCGATCTTCTCCCAACCCCACCGGGGACAGGGTCCCAAGCCTACTTTTTCTCTGTGGCTTTCTTCCTAGCGCCAGGCTGCACCAGCTGAGACCAGATGAGAGGCACGGAGTCACCCACGGCCTGGGACCTGAGTTTGCGCTTGAGGGTCTGGCAGAAGGACAGGGAAGGGAGGGCTGTCAGGAGGCACAGCCCCCTGGCCCTGGGCCCCTCACCCGGGGGCCTGTGGGTGTCTGCTCACCTTGGCCTTCCTCCGTTTCTGAAACGTCAGCATCTTGTAAGAAAAGGTGGGGTCAACAATCAAGGCTGAAAAGAGAGGGGAAGACCCGAGTCAGGGTCCCTGATTCTGGGAAGGACAGTGGCAGAGGAGACCGGTGGGGAGCTCCGCCAGGACGCAGACGGAAGACTTAAGGACCCCAGTGCTGGAGGCCCCACCCACACGTGGCAGTGGAGAAGCTGGGGTGCAGTGAACCCCGTGGGTGCCAGAGCCTGCTCACCTGATCGTCTGCACTGGGACTGGTTCTGTGGATGGAGAAAGGACAGTCAGGAGGGGCAACCTCTTCCTGCTTGCACATCTCCACGAGTACCCAGCCTGAGAGTCCAGGCCCCAGCCCCTCCTCCCTCAGACCCAGGAGTCCAGGCCCCAGCCCCTCCTCCCTCAGACCCAGGAGTCCAGGCCCCCAGCCCCTCCTCCCTCAGACTCTGGAGTCCAGGCCCCCAGCCCCTCCTCCCTCAGACCTGAGAGTCCAGGCCCCCAGCCCCTCCTCCCTCAGACCCAGGGGTCCAGGCCCCCAGCCCCACCTCCCTCAGACCCAGGGTGTCCAGACTCCCAGCTTCTCCTTCCTGAGACCCAGGGGTCCATGCCCCCAGCCCCGTTCCTGGGGACCCTGGACTTCAGGCTCTTGGTCCTGGGTCCCTTTTGAATCTCTAACCGTCACTGCCCGCTGGGGTCTGTGTGAGCATGCCCCCACCTGGAGGGTCCAGGTGGAGGCCGGAGGTGCCATCTGGGCCAGGTCCGAGAGGGGCGTTTTCAAGGTCCTGGGGGCCCAGAAGGTGGCCGGCTCTTGGAGCAGGTGGATGAGCCGGGTCCAGCGGTCAAACAGAAATGCCGCCTCGCTGTCGGGGGCGTTCAGCTCCAGGTAGTAGTCTCGGCCTGTGACCAAGCAAAGCTTCAGGCGCCAGGCAGACAGGTTGTGGACGTACAGGTGGACCAGGTCCAGCGGGATCATCCTGGTGGAGGCAGGAGACGGAGGAGGTAGAGCAGGAGACAGAGATGGGGGCGGCAGGGGGCGGAGGGGTGCAGGCACCTGGTGAGGACGAGGTTGGAGCAGTCCCTGGCCTCGGAGGGCCGAGCAATGAGCAGGAGGTCTGGCAGCACCGGGCCGGGCAAGGAGGCGGCCACACCCATGGTCAGGTGGTTGCTTCTGTGGTGCACGTACACGGGGGCCCCTCGGCTAGTCACCTGGGGGGCCAGGGAGAAGGGCTGGGACCGCTCCTTCCTGTCATGCTCCGAGGCACCCCCCAGACCAAGCCCCTACCCCCTGAGTCCCCAGTGGCCCCAACCGCCCCCGGCCCAAGGGGTCTCACTCTGCCCCTCTCTGCCCCAGGGCGCAGGGAGCTGGAAACCTGGACAAAGTTACTCTCGAACATGGGCAGCGGGCAGAGGGGCAGGTACTCGCCCTTCTGGAGGGTCCTCTGCAGCAGGCCCAGGGTGGGGACCCACTGCGGGGGGCACGGCAGGGGGTCCAGGTGCCTGATGTTCCGAAGCCTGTTCATGGTGGCTGCATAAAGGGAGGGGGGTCACCCAGGGCATGAAGTCACTGGCCCTGGCTCCGGGCTCAGCTTCCCCAGGGCTTGGCCATGGCCCTGCCAGGGTTGGTTTCCCTGGCCTGGGGGAGGAGCCTTGTGTGGAGGGGCTTTGTGACCTCATCAGATGCGCGTGGGACTCTTCCTAGGAACTCTCCTGAGGGCCATGGGCTCCTTTCTTCTCCGGGGATGTGGCCTAGAGCCCCGAGGAGTGGGGGCAGAAGGTGTGAACCAGAAGGCCCCTGCCCCAGACTCAAACTGGTGACTGGAGAGGGCCCCCTGAGAGGGTCCGTCTGAGATGTTGCAAATGAATAGTTAAGCAGAGGGTTTCGGACTCTTTTTTTAAAAAATATCTTTTATTTATTTGGAGAGGGGAAGGGAGGGAGAAAGAGAGGGAGAGTAACATCAGTGCGTGGTTGCCTCTCCAGCGCCCCCTACTGGGGACCTGTCCCACAACCCAGACATGTGCCCTGACTGGGAATGGAACTGACAACTCTTTGGATCACAGGCTGGCGCTCAATCCACTGAGCCGCACCTCCCGGGTCAAGTTTCTGACTCTTACAAGAGGGCTCCAAATACAGCTACCACTCACGACTGACCCTTCCTTAGACCTTGAGTAAGAACCATACCCCCATGGAGCCTTGGTTTCCCCGTATCAAATGCGTTTGTGTCCGTGGTCACAGCTGCTGTCTGTTGAGTTAGAAAGAAAGGAACACACCCTTTGCAATGAGCCAGACTTGGGGCAGAATCACAGCTGTCTCTCCCTAGCTGTGTGACCTTGAGCACCAGGCATACCCCCCAGCCTCAGTTTCCCTCGTTTGTAAAGTGGGGTGCAGTGCAGGATCCAGGGGACCATGTAAGTAAAACCCTTCAACTTCAGGCAAAGCCCAGAACCAGTGCTCAATGAACAGTCCTTCTTGTCCCTTTCAGAGAGCCTTTTTTTTTGGGGGGGGTGGGAGTGGGGTGGGAAAGGGACTGGTATTCTGTCATTTTTAAAATAGCGTTTATTAGTTTTTAACAACGTGTCATGCCAAATACATGTAGAAATTTTGGAGATTACAAGCACAAATGATAAGTCACCCACAGTGCCACCCCACACCTTCTGTCTGGAGGCAGTCATTGTCAACATTCTGGTATAGTTCCTCCAAGGAGGTTTTTTTTTTTAACATATATGCAGAGAAACACAGAATGGGGATCGTGCCCTGGTTTGCAGCCTGCTCTTCCTGCGTCCAAAGCAGCCTCGGCAGCTCCCTCTCGGCTACCTTCCGTCGCCGGATGCGCCCTGATTTATTGAGCCATCCCCATGGTTGGACACACTAGGTTGTTTCTGATTTGCTGGTGTGAACTCTGCCACGGGGAGCGAGCTTCCCCTTCCAGCTTTGCCCTGCATGAGCTCTGTCGGTCCCTGGGTGGCCCTCTGGAGCTTTCCGTTAAACACTGATTGAATGCTTACAAAATGCCAGGCACCAGGTGAGGCCCAGACCCTGCCCCTCAGGGTTCAGGGGCCCTGAGGCCCTGGTGGCTTTCCATGGCCTTGCTCATTTGGGGTCCCTCCCTCTTCCTTGCCCAGGGGCCCCGACATCCAGCTCCATGCCACGAGCCCCCCCATAGAAATAGCCTCTGAGCGGATGTGTGTAACAAGTTTAATTCCTCCTTCTCCATCTCACAAAAGGTTTCTCAAGTTTTTTGTACAAAAACCCAGGCCTCCTTCCCCCTCCCTCCCCACCCCAGCACAAAAAGTAATAGTTTTAATAAATAGTATATGCTCCTGCTTAGGCCCAGAGGAGTGGGGGCCATGACTGTGGCCAGACTTCTCAGAGAGCCAAGAATCCGGGACCCCAGGCCCCTCCTGCTGGGGACCCTGAGTCCCCCGTGCCTCCCGCCCACCTCCTGAAATAAATAAGTATAAATAAGGCACAGGTGTCCCTACCCAGGTCTCCTAGGGGGACTATCTCTAACTAGGGGGAGATAATAGGAAGAGGGGGTTCTTCTGGCTGCCACGCCCCCAGTCCCGAAATAAATAAATAAATAAGGTCTGGCGGTGAAGGACGCGGGCCGCTCTGGGGGGCGGGTCACAGCCGAGTCTTGAGCAGCAGCAAGCCCCGCACCGCCCAGTCCAGCGTCAGGTGCAGCCCTCCGAGGACGGCGTGGGCCGCCCGGATGCCTCCCCAGGCTGAGGACGGTGGGGCCAGCGGGGGCGCCAGCGGGTCTGGGGGCGCCTGGGGCAGGGCCAGGCGAGACATCTGCGGGCAGAGGACAGAGAGTCAGCCACAGGCCAGGGGTGCAGAGGAAGGGGTCGCGGAAGGGTCCGGGAAGGGGCGTTCAGAGCCTTTGTTCAATCAGGTTGGGTGTTGGGGGGGGGCATTGTTCAGGCTGCATATTTCCAGAGTGTCTCTGGCCTGCATGGTGGGTGCCTGGGTAGGCAATTCAGGAAATGAAGGCTGTGCCCAAAGGGTGAGGGTTTCCAGGGCCATGGGAATCGAGGGGGAGGTCTGTAGGAGCAGGGCTGGGACCCTGGCTGGGGCTGGGTCAGGGCTGGGCACGGTGGGCTCACGCCTAGGGCAAGGCCCAGATCTTGGGGCTGTGGCCTGAGGTCTCAAGAACTCACAGGTGAGGCCTGGCTTCTCACGTGTGAGGTCTCAGAACTGGGAACTGGAATTTGAGGTCCAGAGTCTTGGGGAGTCCAGCCCAGGGGTCTTAGGGTCTTAGGTCTGTGACTGTGGAACTCAGGATCTTGGGGCCTCCTGGCCTCCCTCACACTCAGCCCCTGGAGTCTTCAGGAGTCAGGGCTTATAATTTCAGACCTCGGAGTCTAGGTGCTTTAGCTCTGGGTTTGCTCAAGTCAGGGTCTCTACTCTGTCCTGTTAGGATCTGGAAAATCTCAGGGTCTGGGGGTTCAGAGTTTCCCGGGCTCAGGTTCCAGAACGTGCTGTCTTGAGGCCAGGGTCTCCGAGTCTCGGGGGGGAGGGTTTGGACTGTTGAGTCTTAGGGCTTCAGAGTTTTAGTGGGAGTTTTGGGGTCATGAGATTGTGGGGTCTCTGAGTTTCTGAGATGAGACGAAGAGTTTTCAGGCAGGATTTTGGAGCCTGGGGCCTCAGGACCACGGGATCCTGAGGACACGGGGCAGGGGGCGGGCCCTGAGCAGGGATGTCCTACCAGGAGCTGCAGCCGGCGCAGCAGCCGGTCCAGCCGCGCCTGCAGGGCCCCCAGCTCCGGCTCCAGGGTCCGCAGGGATGGGCCTCCCGCCCTGCGTAGCCACTGCACGTGCCGCAGGTAGGAGAGCAGATCTGCCCGAAGCCTTGTCAACACACCGGGAAGCTGGGGGATGACAGGGCGTGGGGCTTGTCAGCGCACCTGGCACCGGGCCTTGCTGCCCCCCCCGACACCCCCGGACCCCCTCCAAGGCTCAGCTCCCTTCTTCACCCCCATTCCTCTTTCCCGCTCTCACCTGCAGGGCTCCCAGCGCCCCTGCACTCATGGCCAAAGTGGGCAGGGAGTCCAGATTGTGGTCTCCGTCGGCTGGGAATTTCTCTCTCTGGGCGGGAAAAAGCTATGAGGGGGACCCTGCCCAGCTCTGGGGGTCCCTTCATCCCCCAACCGCAGGCCTCCAACTCCCCCCCGCCCACCCCGTCTGTGCCACCGTGGAAGCCCAGATACCGCCCGAGCCTCGGTCCCGGTCCAGGTCCCCCGCCCATCCTCTCCAGTCTCTCCTACCAGCTGCGCCGCCAGCTGCCGAGTGTCCGCGAGGAGCGAGCGCGTCAGGAGCACGGCGCTGTCCAGCTCGGCCCGAGGGTCTGGGGAAGCCTTCGGGGGGCCAGGAGGTGGCCCTGGGGCAGCAGCTCTCTCTGGCCACAGGCTCAGCGCGACCAGAACCAGGCAGCAAACACCTGCGGGCGGGAGGAGGCAGAAAGCTCAGGCGGGACGTTTGGTCCCGGACAGGAGGGCTGGGGGTCTCGCGTCCCAGGGCGGAGCGCGCAGGGCCGGTTGCCGGCCGGGGCGGGCTTCCCTCTCCCTCTCCGGCTCTGGCTGCCCCGCCCGTCGGAGCAGACGCGGCCCCGGGCGGGTAGACGGGCCGGGCGTCTCCCGTCCGCCCCCGGACGCCGGAATCTGGGCCCCGGGGCGGGGCGTGAGGGGGAGGCACAGGCCAGAACCTGCCCCCTCCCGGGGCCCCGGGAACCCCGGGCCGGACTGAGAGCAGGGGAGGGAGCTCCGGCCTGAGACCCGGAGGCCCTAGACCCTCCCCGGAGACGCTCCCGGGGTGGGACTCGGCGCGCCCGCCGCGGTGCGCCCGCCGCGGTGCGGGATGCCCGGCACACCTGGGCCCGAGAGCCGGGCACAGCTGGCGCGGCGCTGGGGCTCGGGCCACCGCTGCCTCCCCGGCCGCCCATCCCCCCCCGGGCCCCGCCCTCCGCCTCCCGCAGCCAATCAGCGCCCCCCGGGCTGCCCCGCTCCCGCCGCACACCCCCAGCCCGCCCCCGGGGCTGCGCCCGCCGCTGTCCGTCCGTCCGTCCGTGGGCACCCGTCCGTCTTCCCCGTTTCCGTCTGCACCCCTGTCTCTCCTCCTGCTCCCGGCTCTCACCTCCTTGCGCTCTCTGCCTCAGTTTCCCCCGTGCCGCCTGGGTTGGGGTCCCTGGGCGTGTGCGTCTCGCGTCCCCGGGGCCCCCTTGGGCGTCCTGGGCCCTTTGGGGTCACCTCGCTGCGTTTTGTCTCTCTGTCCCTGGGCGTGCCCACGTCTCGAGGTCCCCGAGCCTCTGTCCCTTCGTCGCCCCCCTCGCCCGCCCCGCTCCAGGTTGCCGGCTCTCCCAGACTCTGCCCTCCTCTCCTCGTCCGCCTCCCCATCGCTCTCTCTCGCTCCCGTCTCGGCGTCCCATTCCGCTGTCTGTCTGCTCCGCACCCTCCCCGCCAGAGGTCCCACCCTCCTCCCTCCCTGCTCCCCCCCCATCCCATGAACTTGAACCAACTTACTGTTCATGTCCCCACAGGGTAGGGTTCCCCAGGGCAGGGGGCAGGGAGCTGGGGGCCTTTAACCCTTCCCTGTCCGCTGCCGGGGGAGCCCCAGGGGTCAGCTGGGCCTCGGCCTGGGGAGGGGAGGCATGTGCGTGGAGCAGCCAGGGCCTCGGCAGTGAGGGAGTGTGTTCGCCTGGGGGGTTATATAGGGGGCCGGGGCGGGCGGGCGGGGGGCAGGCGGCAGGGGAGGGCGCCCTGACACATCCTGACTCACCCTCCCTGCCTCCCTTTTCCATTCAGACGGAGCCGGCTGCCTCGCAGGGCTCACGCCGCCTCGCTCGGAGGAGGGCACGGAACGAAAAGTTGGAAAAGTTGAAAGGGAAAGGGGGGGGGTGGTCGGAGAGGGGCTGGTGAGGTCATTGGCGTCCCCTCCCTCCACCTCCTCGGCCCGGCCGCCGCCGGGGCAGACACACGCGGCTCAAGGGCTGGGGCCCGGCTGCGGGTGGGGGTCCTGCTGGACCAGGGCAGGCAGCGAGATGGGGGGCCTGGGGGGAGAGGGTGACGGGGCGCAGAGCAACGGGGCGGGCCTGGGGGAATGGAGGCTCTGGGTCGGGGGCGCTGTTCCAAGGGACAGAGAGAGAGGGATAGAGTTGGAGAAACTGAGGCCCAGGAAGGTCGCAAGAGACACACAGGCAGATTGGGGTCACTGGGGCCCAGAGGCAGAGTCTGAGGTGCAGTGACAGAGAAAGAAACCCTGGAGACACATTGCAGAAGCAGAGAGGACCAGCAACTCCGAGAGGAGAGGCTCAAGGTCAGCCAGCAGAGAGAGGGAGAGAGGAAGGTGGCACCATGAGAGATTTGGAGAGACCCACAGTGACCCCCCCCCCGAGGAAGAGGGACAGAGACACGGTGGCGTCTCAGAGAGAGAGAGAGAGAGGGGACCAGGGCCCAGAAGACCCTCATGGGGAAAAATGGAGACACCAAGTCAGAGTAGCAAAGAGAAAGAGGCCCCACGTCACAGAAGGAGTCAGGGTCAGGAGTCAGCCACGGGGACAGAGTGAGGGGAGAGCCTTTCTCCAGGTGACAGGTAGGGACAGGAAGGTGGGAGAGAACCAGAGACGGGGACGCCAGGGCACCGAGTGAGAGATGCTGAGACACCCAGGAGAGGTGGGACCTGAGGCCCCAGGCTTCACCCCTCTGTGCCCCCAGTTTCCCTGTGAAATGGGGATAGCCGAGTACCCCACCTCCACCCCTCAAACGCCTCAGTATGGTCAGAGGGAGCTCGCTCAGGTAAAAAAAAAAAAAAAAAGCACGCCGTCGGTCAGCTCTCAACAAATGCGAACCATTGCTGTGTTTGCTGGTTTTTATTAACACGTTCAGGGAGACAGAAAAGATGTAGCCACCGGGGGACGTGGTACAGCCACTGAGAAACGTGGAGACAGCAGCCCTACGGAGGGGACACTGTGCAGAGGTGGGGGCTGGAGAGGGAGAGGGGTTCTGGGGCCAGAGCTGCCGATGCAGGCACGCAGGCGGTGAGCACCAGGTGTGTGGGGCAGAGGGGTGGCCGCCAGCCGGGTGCGAGGCAGAGACAGTGAGGGGCTGACACAGAACCCAGGTCCCCAGGAGCACCCCGCCCTCCCCTCCCAGGGCGGCGGAGAGAGGCGTGATGAAAAGGAGAAGACAAAAGGTGACGAGCCCTTCCAGAGGTCTCCCTGCAGACCCCCATCCTGGCCCCCAGTCTGTGCTGAGCTGGCAGGGGGGCTCTGGGAACGAATGGCAGCTGGAGTCATCCCTCACCACTGGGGGGGGCAACTGCTGAGGTCCCCAGGGAGGTGAGGTCACAGCCCCCCCATGGTGGGACATGACCTCATCGCCTCAGGTAAGCACGCAGGCGCCCTGTCTCTCTCTCTCTTTTGGTCATGGCCACCCCTTCCACGGCCCCCCAGGGGCCCACCCCAGCCCCTGCTCCCGCTGGGACTTAGGCATCTGACCACTGGGTCTCCACCCCTCAGGGGGCCTGCTTCCGGCTGAGTCAGTGTGGGGGGCCCAAGGCTGCGTCAGTGAGGGGAGAACTGACGTAGCCCCCCCCCAGACCGGCGGGGGCCAGCCAAGGTGACTCAGGCCACCAGCTTGGGGGATGGACTGGCCTCAGGGAATGGGGACTGGGCCTGGGGCAAATGTGAGAGCAAAGATAGGGGTCTGGTCAGAGGAGCCCCTTCCACCTACAGGAAACCTGGAGAGCCAGCCCTGGTCCGCAGAGTCGACCCACGGAGTCCAGGTCCCCAGCCCCTCCCCCCTCAGACCCAGGTGTCAGGTGTCCAGGCCTAAATCCCTACTGTCTAGAAAGGTGGAGACAAATGTGTTGCTATAGTGCAATTTTGGGACTGGGGCCAGTTCCCACATCTGCCTAACCCTGACCCCGGGGCTGTGGGGTCCCCTTCGCCCAGGTGCCCCAGGAGGCTGAGGGAGACTGGGCGGGTGCGGGACAGGAGGGGAATGTGGTTCAGGATCTCTAGGTCTTTCTCGGAGTTGGGGACACTCAGGCTCCTTCTGTGGAAAGGAGGGTGAGGAGAGAAGCAGGACGGGGGAATCCCGAGCAGGGAGAGAGGATGCCAAGCAGAAATAAAGATGGAGCACAGTGACCCAGGGTGAGAAAAAGGCAGAGATGCAAAAACAAGAACCCCCTTGAGATGCAGAGAGACAAGCTCCCAGGCTGAGACGCAACACTTGGGGAGAACGGGGGCCTGAGGCTCTGAGGGGTGGTCTTGGCGGGGAGATGCCACAGGGACATGAGGAGGGAGCCCAGGGTCCCCGCTCCTGGGCTGGCCCCTAGGCGAGGCGGGGCTGGCTGGTGTGAGGTCAGCAGGTCCCAGGCCCTGTGTGTGTGTGTGTCCGTCTGTCTGTCCCTGGGGGGTCCTGTCTGGCCTCTGGGGGGTGACGGGGCAGGCGAGCCGCAGAGGCAGCCCAAACCTGTCATTAGCGGTAAGGGCCGTGACGGCGGGGGCCCCCCCCAGGCCCAAGCCGCGGTCCAGGGCCCGGCAGCCCCGCCCCCACCCCACCCCCTCCTTGATCCCTGAGGAATCCCGGGAATTGGAAGTGGGTCCAGATGATGTTGACACAGGAAACGGTCAGCAGCTGCCGGGCCTCAGCCCCACCACCCCACTGACCCCCCACCCCCGGCCCCCTGCCGAGCCCCCTCTGACCTGTGTCATCTCTGACGGAGGCAGCCCAGGGCCCACTCAGCTCCCATCAGGATGTTTACAGATGACAGAATGCAATCAGCCTCACGGGGCTTCCCGAGAAGTGGGGGGGTCTGGATTCCTGAACAGTCGCCCTCAGACCCCCTCCCTGGCCCCCTCCAGGAGTCCGGACCGCCCCCCACATTCCCTCTGAATCAGGTGTCCAGGCCCCCCAGGTCCCTTCTCCCTCAGACACAGGAGCATGGATGGACACAAAGATTCGCTGCCCCAGGAGAGCCCGGCACCCTGTTCCCTGTCCTGCAAAGGAGAGTGGGAGTTCACTCAGGAAGAACTGGGGGACGGCTGAAGGACAGACCCCAAGCCAGAAGTCTGAGGACCCTACTTGGATCCCTTTCCCCATTTGCTAGTGGGGAGACAGGCCTCGGTGGGCGAACGTTCTCCCTGCCCACGAGACCCCCTCACCCCTGGGCCCTGAGGTCTCTGGCGTGGATAGAACTACTCTGGTTGCATACTCTCCACCAGGGTGCCTGGACCATCCCCAAGGCCAGGGGACCCCTGAGCAAGCGCCTGACCCCTACTGTCTCCTTGCCCTCCCTCCTAGCCTCCTGGGTGTCAGGGGGTTCCCCTGAGCAATGGGGCTCAGGGAGCCCTTCTGAGCCTCAGGCCCTCTTGCCCTTGCTGACTAGGGGATAGACCCTTGGCCATGAGGCCTCAGGAGACTCCAGGGCTCCACCTAGAGCTGCTTGCCGGCCTTAGATCACTAACAGGGAGATTCTTTGGCAAGGACTCGGGTGCCCGCCCCTCAGTCCCCTGGTGGGTGAGGACCCCCCACCCACTTTCCATGCAGGTCACTAAGGAGGCTCTTCTAGCTAGGCCCCCACCCCACCTCCAAAGCCTCTTCCACCTGGTTGCCAAGAAGCAACTCCCTGGCAACCGGGCGTGACCAGACTAGTGTGACACCCCCTTGCTTCTTTCTCGTTGCTAAGGGGGCTCCGCAGCAACAGAACTTGGAACCCTGGGGGCTGGGCGGGCGGGCGAGCGGGCGGGGCCCCCTGATTGCTGGGGGATGGCCCTCCAGGTCTGTCATCACAGAGACCCCAGGGGTCTGAGGAGGTGACATGGTGGGCTGTGGGATCCCAGCTTTGAGCCTCTTCCTGCTGATGCAGGGCTCAGTAGGTGAGGGGCCCCGGAGAGAGGGTCAGAGAGCTGAGCAGGGGGCTTCCTCACCCTCCTGACAGCGCCTGACACCATCTATTTTCCCACCACAGATGGGAATGGCATCCAGGGGTTCTTCTATCCGTGGAGTGAGCAGTGGATGAATCCGGGGTGCCCAGGGCCCAGATTAGACTCTTGGGTCCAAAGGGAAGGGGGTGTTGGGGGCCTGGACTCCTGGGTCTGAGGGAGGAGGGGCTGGGGGGCTGGACTCCTGGGTCTGAGGGAGGTGGGGCTGGGGGCCAGGATCCCTGGGTCTGAGGGAGGAGGGGCTGGGGGCCTGGACTCCTGGGTCTGAGGGAGGAGGGTCTGAGAGAGGAGGGGCTGGGGGCCTGGACTCCTGGGTCTGCACAGAGCAAGCACTAGGCAGTCAGCGGCAGAGCTTGGCCTTGGGATGCTGGAGCTCCACGGCCCTGGAGGCCAGGCTCCGAGACATCACCGCCACTCGTGGTCGGCCCCCAGGCTGTGAAGGAGACCCGGGAGAGCGGGAGAGCTGTGGGGGTCAGGCGGCCATCAAGAACCCCAATCTCTGTCTGCGTCTACGATGCTGCTACCGAGACGGGTTCTGCTACCACCAGCGGCTAGACGGTGAGCGCCGGGAAGACTGGGCCCCCCCCAGGGGAGGAGGCTGGCAACCAAGACCCCCGAGTCTCAAAGGTCTGAACTTTGTCCAGAAAACCTGCGGTGGAAACACATGTGGGCGCTGAGCTGGTCATGTGCAGGCCTTCTCTTCCTCATCTGCAGCATCATCTTGTTCTGGCAAGTGGGGTTGGGGCTCGGGGGGGGTTCCGGGGCCCCCCAGTGGAGCAGGTGGACAGGCTAAGGCCGAGTGTTTCCCCTTCCGGGCAGGTGGGCTGAGAAACAGGATATGCTGCGCCTCCCCGGGTTCCTGCAGGGCAAAGGCAAATCGTCCAGGGCCGTCTCTCTGTCGTCCCAGGACCGGGGGAGTCGGAACAAGAAAAAGGCCTCCGCAGGCAGTGCCTCAAACACTCTGCCTTTGAGGAGTACCCTGGACAACTCAGGGACCAACGAAGGGGGTGAAGAAACAGAAGGGGAGGATGAAGATTAGGGGTGCCTCTGGGGGGGACCCCTCAATAAAGATATAGCATATAGCCCTGGCTGGTGTGGCTCCCTGGACTGAGCGCCAGCCTGCGAACCGAGAGGTCGCAGGTGCGATTCCCAGTCAGGGCGCAGGCCTCGGTTGCGTGGGTCCCCAGTAGGGGGTGCGCAAGAGGCAACCACACATGGATGCTTCTCTTCCTCTTTCTCCATCCCTTCCCTTCTCTAAAAATTAATAGATAAAATCTTCAATAAAATCTTTAATAAAAATTAAAAAAAAAGATAGGCTTCGCGCTGGTGTGGCTCAGTGGATTGAGCATGGGACTGTGAACCAAAGAGTTGCTGGTTCGATTGCCGGTTGGGGCACATGCCTGGGTTGGTTGCGGGGCCAGGTCTTCCGTGGGGCACGCTCAAGGGGCGGCCACACACTGATGCTTCTCTCCCTTGCTTTCTCCTTCCCTTCCCCTCACTCTATAAATAAGTAAACAAAATCTTAAAAGATAAAAATAAAAAAAGATAGAGCGTATAAACTGGTGGTCTCTCTCCTGAGAGCCACGGGAGCCGGAGGTGGATGAGCCCTGGAGGCAGCGGGCATATGTATGCGTGTGCTTGACTAGAGCGGTGGGTCGAACGGGGGGCCTGGGCTGTGACCAGGGAGGGTATGAACTGAATGGGGCTGGAATGAGGAGTAGGTAAGTGAGGAGGATGTGAGCCGAGGGGACCTGAACTGATGAGGCCCCCCAGGCTGATTTGGGGGCCTGGGCTGAATGACGTGGGTTCTGGACTGAGGGGATCTGAAATGAGCGAGTTGGGGGTGGCCTGAACTTGGCTGGGGGGGGTGCGCTTCAGCCAAGGGGTGTACCCCTCAGCTCTCTTCCCGGTAGGAAGCGCCACCGCCCCTGACTGCCTCTGACACCCACCGTGGTATCATGTGTCTCCCCCACCAGCATCTGCCAGGCTCCCCACCCAATGCCTGAGCACAGTGGGGGCCCTGCAGGGCATGAGCCCCCCCCCCAGCAGACAAGCTCAGCTCTCAGACCCCAGCAGCCTGGCAGAGATTTTCTCGGAAGTGTGTTACATTCTAAGACTCATCTTAACTCTGACCCTCCTTCCTTCCTCCTGTCCTTTCTCAGCCTCAGACCCACACCAACCTCCGCTCCGAAAGTTCCCCCCCCAGTAAATATCCTGCAAGTCTAATTTGTCCCTCTGTCTGCTTCTTGAAGGGCCCCAAACGAACAGAGGGGCCTGGGTGGAGGGAGGTCTGGACCGAGAGGATGAGCCTGGGCTCAGGATCCTGGTGGAGCTGGGCTCCCATGTCCCCAGGGGCTCTGAGATAGTCAGGAGCAAGTGGATGTGACCTAGTAGTGCACCTGGGCCTTCCCCACACCCCTCCCTGTGTGATGTCCCTCTCCCAGACAGACAAGCAGAGCTGGGAAGCAGTCATTTATCCAGGTGACAGAGGAGCACAGGGAGGCATCCTGGCGGCCACGGGATGTTGGGAGCAGCTGCCCATCTTGGTCGGGTCCTGGCAGGTGGGGCCATGAGCTGGTCTGCAGGAGGGAGGGTGGTGTTAGTGGCTGCTGGGGTCCCCATAGCCACATGTCCCCTGTGCCCGCTGCCCAGGGACCTGGGAAATGCAGGGGAAGCCCTTTCCACCTGCTTCATCCCCCTCACCCCTGGACCACACACTTGCCCACCGGATCCTCACCCCTCCATGCCCTGATGGCTGCAGCTCAGGACTTTAACTCCCTGGGACACAATGGGACAGGTGGGGGATGAGGGACCGGGAGAGACAGAGGTGCGGAGACAAAAAGACACTGGAGACCGGGAGAAAGACTGGAACAGAGACATGGGGACAGATGCAGAAAGACAGGCAGGCAGGCAGAGACTGAGAAAGGTGACAGAGGGGGACAAGTGACGAAGGTGGAGGTGGGTCTTCGTGGCCACTCTACTGAGTTTGGCCCCAGAGTTGGGGGGAGGCACTGCAGTCAAAACCTATGGGTTCCTCTGAAAATTCAAGCTGTTCTTCACACGCTGGGAGCATCTCACCTTCCGCACTGAGGAGGAGTCCTGTGTCTGGATTCCATCTGTCCATCTACCACTCATCCGTCCATCCATCTACCCATCTATCCAACCAGCCACGTCGACTTGCTCCTTCTAACGGGCTTACACTCCCGTCAGCTTGGCCAGTTTCTGGCAGGTGGTTCTAGCAGTGGAGAGCCACCCAGCGCTGGGAGACTTGTGGGTATGATAAAGCATTTTTCGGGGGGTAATTGTAACCACAGGCGGTTATTTCCGCATTATATGCCAAATTTTGTGTTAGCTCATGCTTGCCCTATTATACAGCTGTTCATCTTTTCCTGAAATGGTTTCCTCACTTGAACCACAGGACAGAATGTATGGCTACTTTCTTAATTCTCACAAAGGAGGGTGTAGGCCTAGTATGGCTCCGGATGTATAAAAGAAAAGTTAATTCATCACATATAAAGAATGTTTTAAGCCCTGGATGGTGTAGCTCAGTGGATTGAATGCGGGCCTGTGAAGCAAAGGATCAAGGTTCAATTCCCAGTCAGGGCACATGCCTGGGTTGCACGCCAGTTCCCAGCAGGGGATGCATGAGAGGCAACCATACATTGATATTTCTCTCCCTCTCTCCTTCCTTTCCCCTCTAAAAGATAAATAAAATCTTTAAAAAAACTTTAAAAAAAGAATGTTTTAAGACATTAAGGTTTAATTGTTTTATGGAAACTCCATTTCAGAAACGGACTCAATCACCCATCCATTTGTTCCACCTGTTCATTCACCCATTAACAAACCCAACCACCCACTCATCCACATTCTTACCCATCAGCCCAAATCATCCAGCCTACCACCCCTTCACCCATCTACCCACCCACTAATCCAGTCATATCTATCCAGCCAGACATCCATCAGCCAATTTATCTAGCCATCCAGTGATCCAACCAGCCACCCATCAACCAACCTATTCATCCATCCATCCATCCACCAATCCATCCATCCAACTATCCATTTGTGCATTCATGTAACTGTGCATCCATCCACCCACTCATCCATTCATCTATGTACCCATCCATCCATCAACTTATCCATCCATCAACTAATTCATCCACCTATCCATCCATGAAGTAATCCATCCATCCATCCATTTACCCACTCATCAACTCATCTGCCCTCCATCAACTTATCCATCCACCCACCCATCCACCCATTCACCAACCAGTCCATCCATCCATCCATCCACCCACTAATCCATCCATTTGTCTCTCTATCCACCCACCTATCCAGGCAATTCATCCACCTATTCATTCATCCATCTGTCCATTTGGGTAATCATCAACCTCTGATTTCTCGGGTTCTCTTTTTGCTGGGAAGTGCTAAGAACACAGATATCAGAGACTCAGACCTCACCTCCAGGGGCTCCCTGCTGGGTGGGAGAGACAGTACCAGCACACACAGACAGGACACAGGATGATGATACAAGCAATAATGGGTAACTCACAATGTGAAGACCCAGAGAAAGGCAGCAGAGTTGAGCCGGATCTTAAAGGACACAGGGGAAGTTTTCTGTGGAGTACAGACAGCAAGGGCACTCCTGCTGTAGGGAGAGCATGAACAGAGGCCAACTGGTGTGAGAACCTGGCTGTTAGTAGTCTGAGGGACGCCATCATGCCTGCAGAGAAGGTGTGATGCTGAGACACAGTGGGCCCACACGAGTGGTGTGGGTTTAACCAGAGGGCAATGGGGAGCCACAGCAGTTCTTTGAGCAGAGGCATGCACACTGGAGAGTGTGTTTAGGAAAGGGAACAGAAAATAGAGGAGGGATAAAAGGGAGGTAGGGAGCCTTTCCTGAGTCTTGGCCTGTGTCGCCATCACTCTCCTGCCTTGTTAGGTCATTCCTGCTCTTACCCCCTCTCTCTTTAGATGTTTTGTCAGGAGAATCCCAGCTGTGTGCCCCTGGACAAAAGGTGGCATCATTTTGGGCCTCAGTGTCCTCCCCTGGGATGGGGATGGAAAGAGTAGTGTGACCTTGGAGACCCAGGTACACTTAGGATTACATGGGATCTGGTGCGTCTGGGGGCTGGAATGCAGGGAGGGACCTCCAATCGAACAGTGATTCTCCCTCATCTGGAGCGGGGAGGAGCATTCATGCTGCTCTGTCCATGCTCCGGGTCTCTGCTACTCTCTGCTTCTTTCCTTTCCTATCTTGACCTGGCCCTGTGTCCCTCTCGCTCCACTGTCTCTATCTCTCCATCTTCCCCGGTGTCTCTAATTCCATCTCTCCCGAAGTCTTTCCCTTTCTGCCCTTTGTCCCTCCCTCTTTCCCCTAGGCCCCTCCAACTCTCCATCTCTCCTTCAATCTCTTTTTTTCCCCCCACAGTCCCTCCCCTTGGTCCCTCCCTCTCTCCCCTCACTCTTGCCATCCCTCCGGTCGCCCCTCCGTCTCTTCCCCGCCCCTTCTCCCGAAACCTCACCTCGGGCTCTCACTCAGTGCCGGCCCCCGCCGCCCCGGGCGCGGCCTCGAGAGTAGCGAGCTGCAAGCGTACGCGGCGGGAGCCGGCGTTGGGCGGCAGGGGCGTGCGGGTGGCGCGGCGCGCTCCCCGGGAGTCAGGAGTCGTACGCTGGCCCGCGGCGGCTGAAGCCGACGCCGACCAGCGGCGAGACAGCTTGCGCGCCAGGCGGGCGAGCGCGGAGGGCTGCAGGCCGTAGTCGCGCTCGAGCTCCTGGCGCGAGATCTCGATGTTGCCAGTGTACCATAGGATCCAGCCCAGCAGGCTCATGAAGACCAGCAGCGCGCCCGAGTAAATGAGCAAGTCGCCGAAGTCACGACCCCGCACCTGCAGCTGCGCAAACACGCCGGTCAGCAGCGACGCCATGCCCGCCACGTCCAGCGCCACGGCCAGCAACAGCGCCATCCGGCAACGGCCCAGGCCGGACGCGGGCGCGGGCGCGCTGACCGGCGGGGATGGTGCACCCGGCGGGGGACCCTGCGGGGCGCACACTGCTGGCGCTGCCGCCATGGCCCTGCTTCGCCGCTCTGGCTCCGGCGGGGAGCTTTCCGGGTGCCGCCCGGCCAGGGGCGGGGTCGGGGACGGCGCCAGGTGTACCCGGCTGCCGTCCGGTCATCTGAGCCGGGCGCCTATGGACGGGCCCGGGGTACTCCCCGGCCGGAGTTCCGTGCAGGGCGTGGGGCTGAGGCATAGGAGTGGCCCAGGACCCCTGCACCCCAAAGAGCGGAAGCAACACATGGAAAATATTCTGGACACTCTAATGGAGGCAGGGCGGGGCGCGGCGGGAATCTGGGCCTTGTTCTCTTCAGACCATCTTCTGGGGCCTTCTGTGCACCAGTGGGGACAGGCAGTGTCAAAAACAAGGATCAGACAAGGCCCTCGAACACGAGCACCTCTGGGACTCAGGGATCAGCAGTCACAGGCCCTGCGGAGCTGAGGTTTCGCTCACTCATTGTCTGTCCCTTGGAGCCTCCTGGGTGCCACGTCCTAGTCAATGTACGGAAGGCACAAAGGTGGACCCTTCACAGGACTCTGACCCCACCGTCAGATTCATGGAGCTTTGATGGAGGCGACCTAAGGCATTGTCATTTGCTTTTGTTCCGTAGGCGTCTCGCCGGGTCCTGTGCTGGTGAGGCTGAGGACTCGGGTAACATCAGGCAAGGCGCCTGCCCCTTAAAGGTGATTCAGAAAATACACAGGGTAGAAATAAATGGAAAACAGACTTGCAGGAAGTTTAACGGGTGGGACATAGCGGACTCAAGGGGGCTGAGCGAACGGGTATGGGACCCCTAAAGGAACGAAACAAAGGCTTTCCCAGGAACGTCTCTTTTCTTCCAATTGACTCGCCCACAGAGGAAATCCACGCTCCCCTGGGTGGGGCAGTCTGCGAGAAGTAAGGTCTAGCTTCTCTCTCAACCCGACACTTCAACAGTTTATTTTAAGAGGACCCGGAACTTAGGGGATGCTGCCGGGATTCCGAAGGGTTCCGAATGTGGCCAAGTGGGACCCAGCGTGGCCGAGCAGGTCCGGGTATGGGCCAATAAAGAAAGGAGGCTCCCTTCTCCGAAGAGCATTTCCGGAGAGTTCCGAAAATACCCGAGCGAGCCTTCCACGACAATAGCCGGGGGCTTACGAAGAAGACCGGAAGTACTGAGACTCCGGGGCTAGGCTTAAATGCTTAGGTAGTTCACGCTCTCATCTGGTCATTCATAAACCACAAATCCTAAAACAAATGTGTATTGAGCGCTCATTCTGTGCTCACTGGGTGAGCAATTTTAGGGAGAGGCCGTTGGAAAAAGGGACTGAGGGGATCTCTCGACCTCTATCCATTCGGAAGCCCAGCTGCCGTTTCCGAAACACTCGAAGTGCCAGGAGTTGCTCCTCGTCAGAGAACACGCCCGGGAGTCTCTAGCCGAAGAAATCCGAAGGGTTCCGAGTGTAGTGAGATGGCATGGCGGAAATAGCCGAACGTTGCCGAGCCGCCCTGGAGGCGGGAATTTAGACACGGCGCTCGGGAGCCCAGAGAGGAAGCGGAAATGCGTGTCGCTATTAAAGGCGTCGCCCCGCCTCCTATGTGCCTCTTTCCGTCTCCGGCTGCAGCAGCGAAAGGAGGTGAGGAGAGGCCTTCCGCCCGTCCGCGTGGCCGCGTCTTATTCCCGCAATCCAATTTTTTCCCCCTGTCGGGCTTTCTCTTTGCGTCCCTTGTGTCCCTCGCGTCCTTGGCTGGCTCCAGCCCTGCCGCCCGAAGGCGCTGTAGAACCCGCAGTTCAGCCCCGCCGCCTTCTTAGGTCGCCTAGCCCCGCCTGGCACATTCCTCGGTGTTGTCTGCCCTCACGTTGCCCGCATTGACCAGGTTCCTACTCATACCTTCCCTCTGTCCTGGTGGGGTTCCGGGGACCGGCGTCGTCCCGTGGCTCCCTTTGACATCTTCCCGGTCCTCTTTCCCCGCAGCTCCAAACATGTCTGCCCACCTGCAATGGATGGTCATCCGGAACTGCTCCAGTTTCCTGATCAAAAGGAACAAGCAGACGTACAGCACCGTAAGTGGGGCCTGGACGTCTGGGTCCGCGTCGGCGGGGGGCGCCTTCGCGGTCTCCATATCCTCTCTCATTCTTTACGATTCCTATGTATCTTCCCTTTCAGGAACCCAATAATCTTAAGGCTCGCAACTCCTTTCGCTACAACGGGCTGATTCACCGCAAGACGGTGGGCGTGGAGCCAGCGGCCGATGGCAAAGGTGTGGTGGTCGTGATGAAGCGGAGATCTGGTGAGCGTTTCCCCTGGCATGGCCCCCATGGGGGACGGGGAACTGTGGTTTTTCACTGATGGGAACAAGAGTAATTCTGCCTCTCAATCGGGCATTCCTATAGAGTCAGGGTGTTTTTCTGGGAAGCTGACTTGCCTTAGCCACTCCACCATCTGTGAAGTGGCTGGGTCTTTTTAGTAAGAACCGAACTGTATGTTCTGGGGACGGTGTTTTGGATTAAACCACAGGGTTACATAATCCCGTGGTTTCAAATTAAACCCTTCAGACAGCCCAGGTAGAGGTGGATGTCTCCACCTTGCTGCTCATGGGAAAATTTAAGCAACATAGATGAGCCTCCCCCTGCCTTCTACTTGCAGGAAGTGACAGGCTGGGTCAGAAGCAGCAGTTTGACCCCGATTCTGCTGTGTGGGCTCAAGCAGAGCCTCCACCCCCATAAACTGCACCCTTAAGCATGGACAGGGCCTTTTTAGTGTCTGGGGGCTTTTCTGAGTCATGTGTTATATCTCCACTACTTCTTATTTTGGCTGAGGTTCTTAAGAGGGAAGTGAATTTTTCCCAGGACCCTGATTAGGAGGAGCTTCTGATAGGGGTCAGGTGCGGCATCATGCATGGCCTGCCCGCTCCTGATCCCAGTGTCTCCTGCTTGTGGGAGGGGGTTACCCTTCTTGGGAACGCAGCCCAAGAGCACCCGGTCACGTGGCCAGCGGGCTGCTCAAGAGTCCGTGCACACTCCTCGTTCTGGTGTGTAGGGTCTTGAAAACTTCCTTCTTGGATGACTGAGTAGCCTTTTCCAGGCTGTTGGGAACCAGACTGATGAGAGGCGTTAAAGTGGGCTCTGCTCTGGGTCAGTGACGCAGCCGTAGCCTTAGTGTGGGGAGGGGTGTTTGGCGGAATTCTGGGCAGTGGAGTCAGACTCCACCTGTACACCAAGGCTTCTCCTCACCCCTGCTCCCTTGTGGCTCCCTGTTACCCCACCATTGGGGCCAGGCCTCGGCTTGGTGTTTCAGACCCTGTTCACAGTGGGTGGGTACCAGGGGCCTGGTGGGGGCAGCCACAGTGCCGGGATTGATGGCTGTCTGGCCAGTACCCGCCTCACCTCCCTCTGCCTGGAATCAGGCAGCCTGTGACGTCTCTGTGTGTATGTGAGGCTTTGGACAGAGGTCCTTGTCCATTGTGTCTGCTCGAATTTCTGTACAGTGAGATGATGGTGAGTGCTGTTTGGGACACAGTGCTGAGGAGACGCCTGTATAGTGCCTATGGCCTGGCCTGGGTGGTCACTGTGAGTGTCCCGTAACTCGTGTTTGGAGACGGGGCTGCCTGCTCACCCAAGCTTACAACCATGACTCGGGTTCTCTGGGTGCAATGTCCCCTCACACCTGCAAGGTGCATTAAAGATGGAGGATACCCAACTGACCCCTTGGCCCTCTTCTCCCTCACCAGGCCAACGAAAGCCGGCCACCTCCTATGTGCGGACCACCATCAACAAGAACGCCCGGGCCACCCTTAGCAGCATCCGGCACATGATCCGCAAGAACAAGTACCGACCAGACCTGCGCATGGCCGCCATACGCAGGGCCAGCGCCATCCTGCGCAGCCAGAAGCCCGTGATGGTGAAGAGGAAGCGGGCCCGCCCGACCAAGAGCTCCTGAGCACCCCCTTCTTCCCCAAAGCAATAAAGGTATCAGCCAACCTTCTTCAACTGCCTCTCCCAGGCCTTGTGTGACTCTGACCCTTCAGCTGTGTGTGTGTGTGTCCCTGTCCCCATCCCATTTTGCTAGAACCGTCAGCTTATCCCCGGAGGGCACCCACACTCACTGGTACCGAACAGGTCAGTGTGCTGGGACTGGAGGGATCAGGCCCAGGTGGAGGGGCCCAGTCCCACTGTGGGGTTTGGTCCAGCGTCCCCACTTGGGGGGGTGCTGCGGGTTGGTGGGAAGTCCTATATGTTCAGCACATCAGAGATGACTTTGGTGAGACATTAGAAAGTACAAATAAAACCAGCAAACTCCTCTGGAATCCTTGTAATTTCGCCCTGCAGGAACAGGGCAGCTTCAAGACCTTAAATGACAATTTTTGATCCATGAACATTTAGAGTCTGAATTTCCCAAGGGTTGGGCCTCCAGGCTGAGGTCAGCACACTGGGTGTGGGCTGAACCCGCCCATCTGCGCCTCTGTTCCAGCCAGGTCTGGCTTGTGAAGGGGGACATGTTTACCATCCGGGTCTTCATAGTCTGTGGGCCCTACCTCTAGGCACTCCTGATGGGGACTTGGGGAGAGGGCTTGCTGTCCCTCAGGAGGGAAGTGGCCCTTTTCCAGTCCGCTGGGCACAGGGTGGCCCTCCTTTTTGCAGTCCCGGGGCAGGTAGCAAGTCCCTCCAAGAGCCCCACAGGAGTGAAGTGAGCAATGTGCTAGGACTTCAGAGGCCCCGTTGTGCCATGGCTGCTGGTTCTGGATCTCTCTACCTGTCCGATGGAAGCCACCCATCAGGGAGGTGGCAGCCCCAGGCTTCCCGCGAACCACCTGCCATGTCTTTCAACAGGCTGTTTTGTCTAAGGGTCTGGCCTGCCATCTTAACATCTCCTCCTACACTGGGAGTGGGAGCACTTCCATCCGACCACAGGCTTCTCACCTGCTCCCTGAGCTCTCTGCAGAAGGCCCTGGGCAACCCGCCACTCCACTGCCGGCGGGCCCTGCAGGGCTAGGCCCTGACTCTCCAGCCCCACCCGAGAGCTCTTCTGAGCTCCACTCTGCCCTGCAGCCTCTCACATTCCCATTTCCAGAGGCTGCCTCTTGTTCAGGGTTTCACAGTTGTCTCAGGTCTTCTCCATCCTTGACCCATTTTGTTATAACCTGTGGTAACAGATGGTTAACCACCCGGGGCCACCAGCTGTGTGGCCTTGGGCAAGTAACTAGACCTCTCTGTGCATCTGTTGTCAAAATTCATCTGTGTGTGGTTAATGAACACACAGGCTGAGGACAGCCTGCATGTAGTGAGTGCTCAGTACTTAAATACTGGAGAACATGAGCACTGTGAGAAGCTGGACCTTGTGTGTTCTGTCTGTGCCTGATGTGTGTGTGTGGACATAACATGTATATATATGTGTGTGTGTGTGTGTGTACACGTGTGGAGTGGCCATTTCTCATCTAAGCACTGCAGACAGCCCATGAAGCATCTGGCTTCATGGATGTAGAAACAGGCTCATGGAGGGAAGGTCACTGACATTATAGGTCTTGACATGCTTCCTGCATACCTACTGTGTGCCGGCCGCTGCGCCAAGGATCTAACATCGAGGGGACCCCCTGTCCCTATCCTTCTGGGAACCCTGTGCATACATGAGAATGCTGCTTCCTGTGTCCACTTTATGGCTTTGTGGTCAAAGGGCAAAGGATCTCTGGAAGGACCCCTGCTGGGGCCCCCTCTATACTCAGATGCAGAGCTCCTGACATCTACCTCCAACCCCTCCATCCTTCCCCAGGTTAATGGACGTGACCCTCACCACTGTTAGCCAAACCCTTGGTCTCGCCTGGGCCTCCACCCTTGCTCAGAAGCCTCCTGCAGTTCCAGTACCTTAAACTGACACCCCTGGCAGTGCCGATAAGGCCTGCCTCCCCTCACCTTTCACCCAGACACCCAGGGCATTGGCACTGGCAAAGGTTACATGTTCCTGCGTGGTCAGTCTGCATGCACTACTCAGGGTGGCTGTGATATGGAAGAGGGCTGTATTGCTGAGAGGACAGACTTCCACACTGGCTATTAAGTCGACAGAGCAGGTGTGACATGCTCTGTAGAGAGGGCCCTGCCAGTGGCTTAGAGAATAGATGCTTAAATTTGCTCGAGTTTCCCCAGGAAAATACACAAACATGTAGGGACATTGTCCCAATGAAGAGAAATAGGTGTAGGGAAGCAAGGACTGAGAGAGAGCTGTTTCTTTATAGAAACTTGCGTTATCTTTAAATTTTAAAAAATGCCTTTGCTTTTAGTGTGGGTGCCATTCACAAGGTATTCCTGGCCCTCCTTCCTTGAGGCATATTTGCAGGTTCTAATGTGACGTCCTAGAGGCATTACATACATATGCAATTAAAGACATGTGCATCCTATTTTTTTTTAATTTAAAAATTGAACAGAAACAGCTTATATATACTGTTTGCATGTGGCTCCCCCCCCACGAATGTCATATTTTTAAAATTCTGAAATACAGTGGAATACAGAACAGTGCACAAACCATATGTATACACTTAACGTAACTGTAAAGCAAGCACTCAGGTAAGCATCACCTGGGTAAAGCAACAGAAGATGACAGCCTCTCAGAAGCTTTCCTGAGCTGCTTGCTGGCTGGAGAGGCCCAGAATCCCAAGCTTTGTGGAAACGTTGCTTTTAAAGTTTTACCACCTACAGATGTGTTTAGTACCACCTCTCCTGTTTTGCCTGCTTTGGAATCAGGTATGAAGGTGCTCAAACTGTCAGTCTCTTCTGTGACTTGTTTGGCTGGTCATGACTTTGTGATTCTCATTGCTAGTAGTGAGTAGCACATTATTTGTGTTGTATGTAAGTATGTTTATACTTGTTTACAGTTAGGGCAAGTGTTGTTTAAAGCCTGTTGGTGTTATGTGCAAGGGTGCTGAGTAATAAGGTGTGTGTGCCTTCGCAGCTGGACCACAAACATTTCATGCCCCCATCAGGAGTGGATGAATGTCTATAGCTTTACACCTGCGTCAACACTTAGTATTGTCAGACTTTAGAACTGTTTGTTGTGTTTCCTTTAGCTGATGTTGCCTTTTCCTAGTAGCTAACGAGGGTGAGTACCTTTTCATGTGTTTGGTAGTTGTTTGGATTACAAGTGCTTTTGCCCACTATTGTGCCTTTTCTTACTGATTTGTAGCGTGCTTTTTAAAAAAGATTTTAAACAATTTATTTTTAGGGGAAGGAAGAAAGAGGGAGAGAAACATCAGTGTGTGGTGGCCCCTCATGTTCCCCCTACTGGGCACCTCAACCCAGTGCGTCCTGACTGGGAATCAAGCCAATGACACTTTGGTTTGCAGGCTAGCGCTCAATCCACTGAGCCACCCCAGCCAGGGCTGGTGGTTTTCTTTTCTTTTTCTTTTTTGATTATGAAGATTTTATTTATCTTTAGAGGAGAAGGGAAGGAGAGAGGGAGAGAAATAGCAACATATGGTTGCCTCTCATGGGTCCTTTGCTGGGAACTGGCCTGCAACCCAGGCATGTGCCCTGACAGAATCGACCCACAGTAGTTTGGTTCTCAGGCTCGTGCTCAATCCACTGAGCTACACCAGGGCTGTTTTTCTTTTTTTTAAAGTATATTTTATTGATTATGTTGTTACAGTTATCCCAATTTTTTCCCTTTGCCCCCCCCTTCTGCCCTTCCCTCCAGCAATATCCACCCCCCCACACACACTTTATTTAGTTCATGTCCCTGAGTCCTGCGTGTAAGTTCTTTGGCCTCTCCCTATACTTTTGTTTTTTTTAAAGATTTTATTTCTTTATTTTTAGAGAGGGGAAGGGAGGGAGGGAAAGAGGGAGAGACACATCAATGTGTGGTTGCTTCTTGAGTGTCCTCAGCTGGGGACCTAGCCTGTAACCCAGGCATATGTCCTACTGGGAATTGAACCAGAGACCCTTTGGTTCCCAGACAGGCACTCAAATCCACTGAGCCACACAAGCCAGGGGTGCCTTTTTTTTTCTGAAATGTATTTGTCCTTTTCGATTATATGACTTGCAAATCTCTTGTCCCACTGATTTGCCTTTCATTCTACTTTAGAAAAACAGTTCGATTTTTTAAAAAATGGACTTGAGTTTGGAGGAACAAATAGGTAGGACACAGGGACGAGAACTAAGGGGGGTGGAAATGGGAGGGAGGTGGGGAGCAAGGGGGGGGGGAGGCTGGGATGGGAGAAATAGACAAAAAACTGTACTTGAAAAATAACTAAATAAAATTTTTTAAAGTGAAAATGGACTTGAAATATGCTTTACACAAAGTAAAATCCAGCTTTTTAAGTATGGTTTGGTTAAGTTTTGACAAATTTGTGCACCCATGTGACTGTAAGAATCAAGGCCTGGAATGTGCTCATCACTCAAAAACTTCCCCCATGGCTCTGTTCACTTTGTCCTCCCCGATGCCAGGCTGCCAGCTGTGTGCATTCAGCTGTGAAGTGATTGGTTTGGCCTGTTCCAGAACTTCATGCAAATAGGATCAAACATTTTGCACACTTCTGTATAAGGCTTTATTCAGCATGTAGTATTTCTGAGATTCATCCAGGTTGTTTTGTGTATTGGTATTTTGCTGAGTAATAGCTCCTTGTACGAGTTCACCCCAATTCCTTTACTCCTTCACCTGGTGAACATGTAGGTCATTTCTGGTTTTTGCCTGTTACAAAGGTAGCAACTGTAAAAATTCATGTCCAAGTCTTTATGTAGATCCTTTTTCCTCATTACATGGTCCTTTTTGACACTGTATCCTGGGGACCCAGCACAGGGAAAGTCAATGGGGGAGAAACTGTGGCAAAGCCAGCTGGCCTTACCTTGGCCTCCTGTCTATGGCCTGCTCTGTACAAAACTAACCTGCCTGTTGCCCCAGTTCCCACACCCTTCCTTGGAGTGGGGGCAGAACCTGTGAAAACGTTAGGGTGTGTTCCCACAATCACATCATCACTTCGCTAATCAAGAGCACATCAAATCAGCTG